CCAGATCTTTCTGGTATAATTCCTCTGTGTATTCTTGCCACCTCTTCTTGATGTCTTCTGCTTCTGTAAGGTCCCTACCATTTTTGTCCTTTATCATGTCCATCTTTGCACAAAATGTTCCTTTAATATCTCCAATTTTCTTGAGCAGATCTCTGGTTTTTCCCTTTCTATTATTTTCCTCTGTTTCTTTGCACTGTTCATTTAAGAAGGCCCTCTTGTCTTTCCTTGCTATTCTTTGGAAGTCTGCATTCAATTTTCTGCAACTTTCCCTATCTCCTTTGCATTTTGCTATTTGCTTTCTTGCATTTCCTTTTCTTTGGGATGGTTTTTGTTGCTGCCTCCTGTGCAATGTTACGAGCCTCCATCCATAGTTCTTCAGGCACTCTGTCCACCAAATCGAGTTCCTTAAATCTATTCTTCACTTCCACTGTGTATTCATAAGGGATTTGGTTTAGATTATACCTGACTTGCCCAGTGGTGTTTCCTACTTTCTTCAGTTTAAGCTTGAGTTTTGCTATAAGAAGCTGATGATCGGAGCCACAATCAGCTCCAAGTCTTGTTTTTGTTGACTTTATAGAGCTTCTCCAAAAATCATACTAGGGCTTATTTTCAGGTTAGGAGTTATTTTTGGGGAAACAGGGTAGTAGTTCACATTCAGCACAGAAATTAACCTAAATTTGGAATTAGGCGTTTTGGATGTTTCTGGATAGACTCCAAAACATAACAAAAAAGAGCCTTGTGACTCCTTAAAAGTCACCAGATTTTATGTGGTAGAAGGTTTTTCTGGGTTGGATCCTGCTTCATTAGACACAGAGAATTGCCTCCATTAGTAGGTTACTTTACTCATGCTGGAGTGAACGGATGAGTAAGTGGACGACTGACTAATAAGCTGCCTGCAGAGGCAAGACTCTGCTTATCTGATTAAGTCGGCTACAGTCCATACATGCTTGTGCAAAAGTGTTTATCTTGAAGGGGCTAGGAGACTCTTTTTTCTTTCCTGCAACTGACCATCATAGCCATTCCTCTGGAAATTGGAACAGAATGGTAAGCTCTCTTGTGGATTTCTGAACCAGACTGGGGTTGCCAGATGGACAGAGAGGAAGGACACTCTCTCCCTACCAAGCACTGGGTGAGAATGGCATCCAAAGGACAGTGGTGCCTCGACTTACGATATTAGTCCGTATTGGAATGGTGGCTGTAACTCGAAAATTTCGTAAGTCGAAGCACCGTTTCCCATAGGAATGCATTGAAAACTATTTAATCCGTTTCGGCTAAAGGGAAAAAAAATCACCAAATAAAAAGCAAAGGGCAGTGGGGACAGGAGGCAGAGGGCAAGTAAGTCAAGGCCCCACTGTAGGCTGAAGACCTCAGTGCTGCACAGGGGCACAACTTACCTCAATTCTGTATTTCTCAACCAGCTCTTCCTGCTGCTGTGCCTCTTCATGTAATGCTATGAGTTCAGCTTCTGCAGAAATAACACTCATTTCCAAAGCAACAATGGTAGCCTAGAATTAAAATGCATCTTGAATACATACTACCAAAATAAATCAAAAAATTAATGGCACATTACATTACTTTATAAGTATGGGTTTTGGCATGTAGCATACATCAACTAATGTTAATGCATTTATGGCCAAATTGTGTTTTTAAGCAAGAAGCAAGACTAGAACTACAGTCCCAGGCAGAGTGATTTGCGAGTTTCAGTAAAGTTGGTGGGAATGACATCTGAGTAAGGAAGTGTAGGTTTGGCTTGAAAATGCTGGGTTTCCACTAACATTTTACTTTCTATTTCCCTGTCTTTCCCTGATCAAACTTTGTCAATTTCCTTGACCACCATCCAAATGTAAGTTTTCTCTTTTTATTCTCTAGCTCTTTTAATTTCTGGGAGTTTCACATTTGCTACACAATGGAAAATTCTGGGAATTAACGTCTGAAAAATCTGAATGGCAGATCTTTATTGTTGAGCCTCTGTGTGTACTGTGTGGCATGAACAAGCCTGCCTATTTGGCTGTAACAGATTCCTATCAATTACAGTAGATTCAAGTCTTCCAGAATTCAAGACAGCATCATAAACCTGGTACTGACAGAGCCTCGTGGAGCCATGGTTATACTGCAGTCCTGCAGTCAAGACTCTACTCACAACCTGAGTATGATCCCAATGGATTCAGGTAGCCAGCTCAAGGTTTACTCAAATTTCCATCCTTCTGAGGTCAGTAAAACGAGCATCCAGCTCCCTTTGGGGGCAAAGTGCGGTTTGCGAGCATCCAGCTCCCTTTGGGGGCAAAGTGTGGTTTGCAAACTGCCCAGAGAGTGCTTCAGCACTATGTAGCAGTAAATAAGTCAGCATCCAGCTCCCTTTGGGGGCAAAGTGTGGTTTGCAAACTGCCCAGAAAGTGCTTTAGCACTATGTAGCAGTAAATAAGTCAAAAAGCAACTACAATATCTTCATGCACGTTTTCTGCTAACATTGACTTATCTGAAAATCCACATTCAAACAGAAGCATTGCCATGAGACAAGATAAGGCACATTCGGACAGCATTCCACAGGGCTGAGAAATTCTTGTTGGCCATCAAAATACCACAGCAAAATGCATCCAGTCCAACTTCATTACCTTGTTTAGTACCATATGCTTGAAGGTGAGCCTTGAACTCATGGCAGGCAGGTGTGTTTTAAGTAGTCTATTGCTGCTTTGATTTCTCTGCTATTGTGTCAGGGATTCCATTTGCTGCATGCAGAGTTCTAAGTACAGCCGCTATTATGGAAATCCCAAGCTTTGGCTCATGTATAAAGAGAGTAGGATCTAAGGCTGGTCAGCCACAAACCATTTTGAACTTCAAAGGACTGCTCTCAAAAAGCATTTCAACAACTGCTACTGCCACATTTTGACATCTTCGTTACAACAGCCACTTGATGTTTGCTCAGTTTTGTTTCTTTCAACAGCTTCTTTGCTGCAAAGCCAATGCCAGCCTTGGTCATGCCAAGCAAACTCTCTGACAATTCTGTGTCAATTCTTATTAACAGAGACCAGAAGACACAATCTGCGGCTTTTCCAGTTTTACGCAATGACTCGCCAGCTTCCTAATTAGCTCCGACAAAACTCTTCATACAAAAGGACAAAAAGGTGCCCATGGTTGTTGGTTTTGAAACCTTTGTAGAAACAGTTCACTGTCTCGCTTCTTGTGCACTTCATGAGTGGCTCTTGCATTGCATGCATGTTTCTTCTTATTTACAGTATTTACTTATTTAATTTATTTATTTAATTTATTTATTTAATTTATATGCCGCCCACACTACCCAAAGGTCTCTGGAAGACTTGCAGGCTTCCTGTGGGGGAGCCTTGCTTCTTCGACAGACTTCCTGATGTCATCACAAACAGCAAAGGCCTTATCAAGGCACTTAACATTCTCCAACTGCCTAGCAGAGCAAAACATCAAGAGATATTCTGTGCCTCCAGCCACAGCAGTGAACGAAGCCCCCCTAGCTGGGGAATCCTTCAACAGATAATAGATGTTGCGCAAGACTGAACTGAGGTCCCACCTCACTGCTTGCAATCCTGTTTTAAAAGACCCATGTACAAGGTGAAGGCTACTACAAGTTCCAAAGTCAATCAATTATTTTTCTTCTCCTTTCCAGTCAGCATTGGTTTTCATTTCTTCTTTCAGTTTTTTCAGAAAAAGATGATTTATATTTGGCCCATCTATAGATACCTGTAATGTCTTAGAAGTGATTAAAAAATGTGCCATTTTGACACTTCAGAAAAAGGTCTTCAGCAATAGCAGTTTATAGCACCATGTCAACAATCCATTACTGAATATATCTTAATTTCAATTTCTCAGGTTTTCTGTGATCAATTTCCATTTCTCTGACTTTCCAGAAAGTAATAACCTTGGAACACAAACTGAATATATGATCCCTTAAGAAAATGGTTCGCCTTTAGCTTGACCATCTGGAAAGCCATAATATCTTAATCAAGGGCAGAAATTTATGGCTGAAGTGGAATTAAAACATTTTCCAATAGCGGACATCTCCACAAGCTGAAATAACTACATTTTGAACTGTTGATGACCTTACCTTTAATTTTGTATTCTCAAGAGAAATGTTTTCATTTTCAGAGATGATTGAATGGATCTGTCCAATAAGCTCATTCTTTGCCTTTCTTCTAGCATCTTGGATTCTTTTGAGATCCATCGCACGGTCTGCTATCTGCCTTTAACATTTTAAACAGAACTTTTGTAATAATCAAACACACACAATACTATTTAATAAATACTAACTCTGTTGTAATTTTAACTACCTTCACATTTTTAGAGAGAGTCTTACTTCCATGTGCACTTCTGTATTTATCTTTCATTAAGAAAGGAAAAAATATCCAAACTTTCCATTTAATGGTGATGCTAAATAACAACAGATGACATCACAATACATTTTCTAACTTGAAATTCAGAGATCCACTGGAATGGAATGTAGCCAGATCTACCTTCTTCTCCCAGTATAACACTTGGTGGGACTTATTTCCAAGTAGGCATGCACTGGCTACAGACTTAGACTCCACACTACTACAAACAACTGAAATTTATGATTGGGAGCTAGCTTATAGAAAGTGACTTATAGCGTTTGACTGCTTATTACAAAGAAAAATGAAAAAAACAAAACAAATTAAGCTTTATACATAGACCATTTCTAACTGTAGCCATAAGCTAAGCATGTCTTTTCTGCTCCACTGACAAAAACGTACAAACAAGACACAGGACTGGAAGGAGAGTTCAGCATGGAAGCCAATGATAGCCTCCTCTTTAGAGCCACAGAAGCAGTGGCACTGCCACCCAGCGCTGCATGTGGAAAAGAGTCCTGCGCTATGGCCACCACATCCACAGGGTCTCCCACCTTTAAGTGGCAGTGGGAACATGACGGCTCTCCAGATATTGCTGACTAACAGCCGTTCAGGCTAGGGCAGGTGAGAGATGGATCCCAGCAAATTCTGGAATGGGCAAGTTCCCCAGCCCTGCTTTAAATGGGTGGCACACCTTTGAAGCCAGAGGTGGCGTGAGAGTGCTCATATGGAGAGAATTAAGCTCCTGCATTCTTAAAATGAAACTAAAATATTATTTTTTTATATCTTATTGTGCTTTTTATGCTACGTTATTTTGGATTCTGTTCTGACATAAGTATTTGCCTGCAACTTAAGTTTAGTTTTCATATATGTTTAAGCATTTGTGCCTATAGTTTTTACATACTATGTTTGTAATTTTGCAGCCTCAAAATATTTTTATACTTATAGAACATAGAACCAATGTAGATAAACGAAGACTTAGACAAGCTGATGTTGCCTGGAATCATTGCAACAATGAAAGGACTTATACTCTGATACTCAGATGAATTTTGATATGATTAGAAATAATTGCCTGATTTTGTTCTGGAATTAAATCTTTTTGGGGTAAATGCCAGCTGTGATGAATGGAGGCTTCTGAATTTCCCCCAGAGGTCTAACAAAGGTCTGTACGGCTCTTAAGACAGATGTTCAGGAACCAGACCTGAAAAAGTTGCTGCTTCTATATGGTGCCAAAGGTCTATGCTTTAAATTCTGCATGACATTTGGAAATAACATACATCCTTGAGTGTAACAAACTTGTGTGTCGGACTAATTATTCCACCCACCCTTAAAACAGGTTACATACCAAGAGGTACAATACATTCACTTACTTTCTCAGATTATCAGCCTGAACTTCTAACCTGGTTTTTTCATCAACTACCGTCTCGTGATGACTTTTCCAGACATTAGAAGCTGAAACTGCCTCAGACAATTGGATTTCCTGGACAGTGTAGAAAAACAGAGTATGTAACATAAAGAACTCATTTTCAATTTTACACAATTCCCTAAACACAGGGGGCATTTTCATTCAAAGCAGCTTCCAAGAATACCGCAGGAGGACAGAATAATATAAACTTAATCTCAACATAAACACAGCTCTAAAAATGTGGAAACTGTAAAACACTCTGAGCCCACCTAACCTCATAGCAAAGTAGAATTCTTAAGGCCACTGGGAATGCTTTTTCCCCAAAAACAAGTATTTTAAGGTTTTGTTCAGATGCTTCTTTTTGTGAGAAAAGAAGACAGAACTTCAACTCTTTAGTTACAGAAGGCAGTCCAACTTTGTGGTCTGCCTAGCAGTTCCAGAGAGAAACTGGTGTTTGTTGCTTAGATACAATTCTCTTAATTCAACTGCCACATCTCCTAATTGGCCAGTGCCTGTGACATCACTGATGAAGAAAGCAATGGGGAATTTTAAATCAGTTAGAGCTCAGCTCTTACTTTTTTTAAAAAAGGGTTTTCCCTCCAGTGTTGTTGTTGTTGTTTAGTCGTTTAGTCATTTCCCACTCGTTGTGAACCCATGGACCAGAGCACATCACGCCCTCCTGTCTTCCACTGCCTCCCAGAGTTGGGTCAAATTCATTCTGGTAGCTTCGGTGACACTGTCCAGCCATCTCATCCTGTCGTCCCCTCCTCCTCTTTCCTTCACACTTTCCTAACATCAGGGTCTTTTCCAGGGAGTCTTCCCTTCTCATGAGATGGCCAAAGTATTGGAGTCTCAGCTTCAGGATCTGTCCTTCCAGTGAGCACTCAGGGTTGATTTCCTTCAGAATGGATAGGTTTGTTCTCCTTGCAGTCCAGGGGACTCTCAAGAGCCTCCTCCAGCACCACAATTCAAAAGCATCAACTTTCTTTATGGTCCAGCTCTCACTTCCATACATCACTACAGGAAAAACTATAGCTTTGACTATGAGGACTTTTGTTGGCAAGGTGATGTCTCTGCTTTTTAAGATGGTGTCGAGGTTTGTTAGCGCTCCCCCCAATGATAAGAGCAAAAGGATGGAACAAAAAAAATACCAGCAGCATATTTTAGCTTTAAAATCTTAATGTCAGTATTAAAGCATGCAAAACATAGGAAACCACTGTATGATGATATTAGGAGGATGACAGCATGATAATTTGGAGAGCTACAAAGAACTGGAGGGAGGACCCCAGGAAATCTGGATCCAACTCCACAGCCTGAGGTCCCCTACTTTTGCAATAGGGCAGCTTTATACGTAAACATCTACTTGGCACTCAGGGGTGATAAGAAAGGTCATGCAGGCAAATGAGGGCTTGTCTACACTTGGCAATTAGAGCTGTCTGGATCTGGCACAACAGGTTGCTACCTTCAGTACGACATTGGGTGTGATCCTTGCATCCAAATGGCATTATGGACCGCAAACAGTCCTATTTGCTCTCCAGGAGTCTGCTGTCAAATTCCTAACATTATGAAGAGAACCACTCCACCACATTGGCAAATTATACACCTTCTCAATTCCATATGGGTATGAGGAAGTTTTAAAAAAAGTGTGAACCAGAGCAGCAAATATGCACTGCATCACTTGAAAAATAGCACGAGACACATATATTACAAATTAGGCACGTGTATTAGGTAGACATGCCTCATTTATAATACACATACCTATTACTATTTTTGAAATGATGCAGTGCACATAATCCCCTCCTTCCTTGGTCCCTCCGCAAAGCTGAAGAAGTGTTTGATTTGTCAATACATGAACTGGCTTTCTTCCTAAGCCACTTCATGATATGGGCAAATTAAAAGAGGAAAACTTGCTTTGGTTTGTTTCCAGTAATCACATGCACTGGAAACACACCCAAATGGAGCGATCCTACCCATATCAAGAAAGTAGAAGCCCCAGGACTTCCGGCTTGACGTCGCGACGAGACAGCAGCAGGAGGGCAGAGCTCTATCCCCTGGGGTGAATTCTGACCCGTTTTGGGACACCGTAGGGTGTCGGAACCACCCTGGAGGGGTGGTGATCTGGGGGAGAAAGCCTGTTGATCATGGGGGGCGGCGGCCACCCCGGTTCGATCCAGGAAACTCCCTAATCAGCCAATGGGCAGAAATAAGCAGCTTCGGCTAGCTTCCAAGTCGCTGGCAGCCGCCTGAGAGAAGCAAGGAACAGCACCTGGCATCGCTGTTTTTCTATCGGGTGAGAATCTTTTTACAACTAATTGCCTACGTACCCCTACATATGGAAAAAAAAGAATTGCTATCTTATCTCAGTAACTTTTTAAAGCGGCAGAAAATCTGGTGAGAGGGATAGCTGAAGAAAGTAACTTTTTTAAATTATACTTTAAGAATATTTATAACCTGGCATTATAAGCTTAAGAGACCTTCCTGCAAATTAAGTGCGAACATTGTTTTGACTATCCAGAGCATTTGGAATGATTCGCAGAAGATGTGACCTTGAATATACTGTTGTTGCTTAAGTCTGAAAAACTGTTTATTTCCTCGTGAGCTTCTGGCTGGAATTAATCCTAAAGTGGACTTTTCAAAAACTGTTCCTTGGGTCGAATTTGGTTCAACTTTACATAGCCAAAGCAGAACTCTTGAAATGACTCTGGAAATTTGGAATATCTGTTTATAAGCATCTAGGCAGCAGAAACAGAATGGCACAACAAGGACAATTTTGGAATGAAGTAAAATCTATGCTTCAAAAAATATTAACGACCGTGAGATCTCATTATCAAGAGGCAAAATTATCTAATCAACATCATAAGGACTATAGTCCACAAGTAACAGGAAACAACAAGGAAGGAAATGGGAGTATCACAGATGATGTATGCCAAACCAAGCAGCAGCTTGAGAAAGTTAACCTAAGAGAAACATCAGGCTTGGGCCAGAGGAGAGTACCAGGGGAAGACAAAAGGAAAAAAACAGCAAAATTAACCAAAAAAAGCCTGGAAGACTCATTGAAGATAGTCCAAGTACAAAAGGAGTCAGTGGACATAAATCAGAACTACAAAATGGTTTCAGAGGACATGAAAGATGACAGAATGTTTAGAGATATAGCAGGGAATGAAAAAAGAGGAATCAGAGAGGGAATTACCTAGAAAGATGAAAAAAGGGAAAACAAGGAAGGGCCCCTTAATATTGGAAACATGTTTATATTTATCATCTGGATCTGTAAAAGGGTATATTGTAGATATTAAAAGGAGAACTAAATTGAAATAAGGGAGCCCGAATCAGGCTAAAGATGTAATATGGTGATTTTTTACTTTAGGCAAACTAAACTAGATATAAAGCTGGGTCATGGATCTGGAACCACTTTCAATAAGAATGTTATTAGAAGATCCTGAGAACTTTATATAATATGAGAGTAATATTATGATAGTAGTTACATTATATACTAAAATCTGCATATGAATGGTTTGAAAGATGGTTGGAATTTGGGGGGATAATCGGGAAGACACTGAGATGTAAAAAACAAATAATTGTAAGCAAGTATGTAACAATGTTTGACAAGCACAAACAATGTAGATAGATTGGAAAATTAATAAAAAATGTTAAAAAAAAAAAGAAAGTAGAAGCCCCCAACAGGGGCCAGAATGGTGCAGGTAGGGCCACTTTGGAGCCAGGCTGGTTCACTCCAGCAAAGATGTTGTCTGATCACTATCTTTAGGAATGCGCCAGCCTGTTCCTCCAGCCTAACAAACAATGGGCTAAAGGCCTGTGTATTCAGCCCGTCTGGACTGCCACAGAAGGAACAAAGTGGTTCATTCCTTCCTTGTATCCAACCCACAAACCAAGCAGGTGGTGAGAGAACACCACCACCCCTTTCACATTTAGCATATAAATGCGATGGACTGTTCTTGGCTTGGCCTGTATCAGAACCACTACACTTCTGTGGGCTTATTCACACGGATGCAACAAAGTGTTATTTACATTTTAAAAAACTACTCCGAATACATAAAATACAAAGGATACAGTGGTGCCTCGCTTAACGGGTGCCCCGTTTGACGAAATCGCACACCGACGAACTTTTTGCAATCGCATTGCGATGTTTTAAATGGGAGAAAATCGCTTTGCGATGATTGGTACCCTGTTTTGCTTACCGATTATCGCAAAGCGATGATTTTCTAACAGCTGATCGGCAGTTCCAAAATGGCCGCCAGGTAAAAATGGCCGCCCGCTATGTTTAGGGACGGATTCCTCGCTTACCGGGCAGCGAAAATGGCCACCGTATGGAGGATCTTCGCTTAAAGGTCAGTTTTAAGCCCATAGGAACGCATTGAAGGGGTTCCAATGCATTCCTATGGGCTTTTTAAAATCGCATAGCGACGAAATCGCTTTGCAGGGATTTTTGCTGCACCGATTAACGTCGCTAGGCAAGGCACCACTGTATTTGAGATCTTGGTTTTTAAAAAAGAACAAAACCCCAAAGCAAAAATAATACTACCAGAGTAATCTGCACATTCTTAAACAACACTTAGCTATACATTACACACACACACACACAAATAGCTGGCTGTAGCCACAGAAATGAAAATAAGAACATAACAACCTTTTTAAAAACATAAAACCCCCAAACAAACAGGATTAATATTTGAGTTGGCTATATATCGTTGTGAGGAGACAAAGCAGGCTAGAACAAAAATGAAATTATTTACATACATGTTAGAAAAGCCAATTGCCTAAACAAGAGAGTCTATAATATAGCATCTATAATTTATGCACTTATTTTTAAAAAAGCTCTCCTTTTTCTATTTAAAGGAAGGCTTTATGAAAGATTGTCTTCAATTGTTTGAAGCAGAGAGAAAGAGACAGAGAAAATTGCAGAAGTAATTTTAACAGGATAGTTTCTTCCATTTGAAGAACCGCTAGAAGATCATCCTTTTGCTGAAACCATTAAATGACTGGAGGGAGCCTTTCAAGAAGATCCAAAAGTAGAGATTCACAATGAGCAATTTCTCAGACTGTCTCCAAAATTTGCAATACCCACAAGAAGAACTGGCTTCTCAATTAAATATTGCAATGTTACTTTCTGCTAGATCTTTTTTTTTTTTCAGATTACTGGAAAAAAAAATTATATGGATGTGAATCAAGAGACTAAAATCTTTAAAGGGCTAATTCTTGTGCCAAATAGTACACTATGTTTAAGTCTGTTGGCTTTCCAGATCTGTCTACTCTCTGAGATCGAAGTGAGAGACGAGGGTTTCAGTGTGCAAGTAGGGGAAGCAAAGGTTTGGAATCAACAAATAACGGACGCAGAAACAATGCTTTCACATATTAAACAATCTTGGAGGAAATGGAAAGCAACTGATCTGATGAGATCACAGGTTAGGAGATGAGATGTTGGTCAAACAAGCATGGCATATGAATTCAGCTCATAGAGTTAATTAGGAACCTCTTATGAAGGGAAATCCGAGTCAAGCAGTTTTAGCCAGGCCCACGCATTGAGGGCATCACTCTGCCCTGCAGCATCTGAGCAATTCTAAATAATTGTGAGGAGCACTTAGCAAAGCACGGCCCATCTTGAGCCAGGATGGGGCCTGGAATATGCTTTTCACCTAACCTCTGAGACTCTCCAAACCTGCTGCTCATTTCATCAAGACAGAAAACATGATCTTGGAGAGAAGGTCTTGATGACTGTTAGTGCTTTGCTCAAAATAGAGCACAAGTCCAAGGAGACCCAGTAGCAAAAGACACTCTGCTCATCAGTTTATGCTGAGAAAGAGGGCTTGCAAAACTTTTTTCTGCAGCAAATGATGCTTTTTCAACACCGATAAGAGTGCCTACTGCTGTCACCAATCCTGTCTCCAGCATGACGCACTGCTTAAGAGTACAGGTATGGCACCTGGAAGACCCAGATTCAAGTCCCACTATAGCTAGTAAGCCAGTGTGGCCCTCTTGAATAAAAACAGACCACCTTTTCAGATGATTTATGGCCACCATCACCAGAGAGGCCATTTTGCTTCATAAATCCACATAACACAGGCAGTTTCATTTTATGGACTTATTCATGTGGACAGAAACACAGAAAGAGGTCGCTGAAACAAAGTTCCCCACAGTACTCCTTCCAGCCAGTTACTGGCATTCCTCCAGGAGATGGCCATTCCTCGTCTTCACTCCCCCAAAACAACAGAGCCACTCACCTTCTCCCTAATTTTGGAGATCAAGTGCCGCACTGCTGCTTTAGCATGTTTAGCTCGTTGTCTCTGAACATGAGCTGCTCTTTGGAGGGCAATCTTCCTCTCCTCTCTTCTTTCCTTTTCAGTCAAAATCTGCTGTTTATGCTCCCCACGTTTCCATTCATAAATCTGCTTTTCCAGAGTCTGCAACACAGAAGGAAGCGAAATCATTACGCATTCTGTACGTGAGAGTTTGCATGTGGGCTTCAACTGCAGAGCAGAAGGTTTGGACATATGCACGGGCATGGACACAAGCCATCACAGCCCCCTCCCCCACCTAAAAATCAAATTAATAGCAGCTTACAAGTGTTTAGTTCTGAAGAAAACTGATTTATGTTTGGCACATGGACCAGTTAAATTAATTTGGCAAAGCAACTTAAGAAGAATAAATACACATGAGGTATTTCAAAAAACCAGCTTCAGTGTGACAGGGAAAACCTAAACACTGAAGCATCTAGTTGCAGCCTGACCCAGTGGGCTGGCTGAAGATTTAGCCATGAGGTACAAGTAGAGACTACATCGCTACAACTGACACAGTAATGTCCTGTTTAGTATACTCTCCCCAGATGATATGGACTACAACTCCCACCATCCACAGCACATAATACTAGTTGGGGATGACAGAAATAGCAATCCAACCCATCTGGAAGGGCACCACATTGGGGCAAGATTAACCTAGAAAACAAGGCATGGACAGTTCTACTGCCCTACTTCCCAACAAATTATTTGGACAATTTGCACAAATTGCACAATTTCTATCAACGCCGCTTGCCACTCCACCATTTGCAGCTCCTGTGGACAAAAATACACAACCAGAAAAAAACTGAGGTAAGATGCTGAAAGAGAGTCATGCTGCTCCTGTTTCTAAACAGTTTGGCTCAGCATCACTTGTGTAGGAAAAAAGATATCCCATCTCACTCCTGTGTCAGGGAGCCCAGGACACGCCCAAGGCAATGTTGCAATGGGTCTGAGAGACTTTTTACAGGAAGCTTTACTTAGCTGAGCATCTCTCAGAGAGGCTTGCATGCTTGCTAATACCACTATAATACTTATGTCTCAAAGCCGGTGCCAGTTAGCACAGTGTTGTCTCCCTATAGACCAGCGGTCCCCAACCTTTTTGGGACCGCGGACTGGCTGAGCCTCTGAGGAAGGCAGCCCCTCTGTGTTCACACATGCACATGCTCTCCAGCACATGTGCAAAGCGGTGGGGAAGTGAGCAAGCACACGCACCAGCATGAACGCTCCCCCACTCCTTCACACATGTGCAGGAGCGCCTGCATGCCAGCCCACGTGTCTGCCTACCCCTTTGCACGGGTGCTTGGGCGCATGTATGAAGGGGTGGGGGAGTGCTCACGCCAGCGCTGACACACGCATGTGTGCACAAAGCAGCTGTGGGGAGGGGAGTGTGTGCAGGGGGGCGGGAGGTTTGTCTCTGCGGCCTGGTCCAGCACAGGCCATGGACCGACACTGGGCCCCAGACCGGGGATTGACAACCTCTGATATAGACGACAGGGTGGTATTTACAGAAGCTGACACCAGTCTTGCGGGCAGGCCTGTGGATCCATCTATCTTTATGATGGCATGTCTGCACGGTTGCTTATTAGGGGGATAATGGCATTAAGAAATGAAAAAAGCTAAGGGGTAGAGATGTATTGTAGCTGTTGGACTGGCTGACTGAAGATGTGCCTGTGGAAATAATCTTAAGCGGCTAGTCCAATACAGACCCATGAATCCGCACTGCTGTTTCTGTGTATTTGGGCTGCCCGCTCACACCTTCATCTAGAACAGGCCTGAGTCAGATTTTTCAAAAGCTACTCTTCCAAGCCCTGATTGTGCTGGTCTACTTGAACAAATTTAGGTTTCCCAGTTAACCATAGCTGACCGTTACCAGAGAATGCAGCTGCTCTCTTCCCCTGTGGCCACAAGATGTCAGCAGGACAACACAGCAGCAACTGGGGACGGGCAACCCAGGTATCATTGAACAGCCTTAACAAACAGCTCTGAGTACTTCAAAATGCCTGCCAACGTTACAGTCTGGATACACTTGGAAACTCGTATCAATGACATTGAACAGATTGGGAATGTAAGCAATTGGGAATGTAAGCAAACAACATTGGGCATACCTCTACTACAGCTTATAAAAATACTTCAGACACATGGAGAAATATCGATGTAAAGTTTCCAACCACAATTCTGTCTACTGAAGTTTTAAACTTCAATTTAAAAACAGACTCCTCACCACCACACACACAAAAAAAAAAAACATGAAAACTTTCTTGCCCAAATTTGCAATTTTATATATTTTTTCTATCAAAACCTATTTCTCTACTACAGCTTATAAAAATACTTCAGACACATGGAGAAATATCGATGTAAAGTTTCCAACCACAATTCTGTCTACTGAAGTTTTAAACTTCAATTTAAAAACAGACTCCTCACCACCACACACACAAAAAAAAAAAACATGAAAACTTTCTTGCCCAAATTTGCAATTTTATATATTTTTTCTATCAAAACCTATTTCGTAAGTCACGAAAAAAAAAAAAAAAAAAAACCTGAAAACTTTCCTGCCCAAATTTGCAATTTTATATATATTTTCTATCAAAACCTATTTTGTAAGTCACATAACAGCTGGCTTTTTAGCCCGTATTTTGGCTGTGTGTAGCCTATATTCTTTTATGCTGCTGTCACAAGTTCAAAACCAGTGGCTGAAGAGCCCAAGAACCTAAGAATACCTTGGGAGAAAAATGCCTTTTATAGAGGTTACTCTAATTGGCAATATGGTCTACCCCCCACCCTCTCAAAAAACAGATGATAGAAGTGTCCATGAAAGCCACTCTTCACCACGGAAAATGGTTGGATCAAGTTTTTAGCATTGCTCTTGTCTTGTATCCATAAGGCTGGTTCGGGGATTTCAGGGAAATCCACCTATTCCTGCAAGTTTAGAGGAACTTCAAATACTTCTTGGCCTCTATTTAAATATAAACCCCACCCCACTCCATGCAAAGAAAATATATTGTACATCTGCTGCTTTTTGAACATTTTGATCCAATGTGGCCAACATGAGTGCATCTGCTCCTGTTTCTACATAGTGTGTATTCACAATCACCCGCCAGGCATGCCCCAAATTAAGGAAAGTTATCTGTTTATATCTAATAAAAACATCCACTAAAACAATAGAATCTTTAAAAAATAGATCTGTGAGGTTTTTTTTCCCCAAAAATGTAAAGGAAAGGGTTTATATGGGGACAACTAGCATCTTTATTCCATAGTTGTCTTGACAGCCCAACTCTCCCAACCCCATCAGAACATCTGTCGAATTACGGTAGAAGTGAAACAATGGAAGTGTAACCTGAATTTTTGATCTTCGCTGATTATTCTCAGCCTCTTTTTTCTCTATCTGACACTGCAGGTGAGTTTGCACTGATTGTACTGATTCAGAGTGACGTGATGCTTTTAGTACATTGACCTGAAATATCAAAGAAAAGCCAACATAAATTCAAAGTCTATTTATGGAAAGGAAAGGAAGAGAGGACTGTATCTTTTAAGATTAACTTAAAATCCTGAATTGCACCTGCTAGCTGATCAACAATGAAGCAAACAATAAAAGCCTTTGTCCCCTAGATTTAACATTTAGTCCAAGTGAAATCAAAGTTCTGACACTTGTCTGCGGGTATTTTAGTTATATGTTTGTACCCCACTTTCATTCCAAACAGAAAGAGTCAAACAACTGATTTTTACACTGAAAACACATGCATCAATATTTGTTAAAAGGGAAATATTAACTTACGTTCTCTTCCTGAAGCTGAATTGAAAGCTCTAAAATATACCTCTCTTTCTGAACCACTTCATTTTTGAGAACCTTCAAGTGAGGAATAAGAAATATAGTTTGACTAGGACAGAGTACACATTAAAAATGCATACATCCTGGCTTTTCCTTACTGACCGAGGAGTTACATGTCTATTTGACCCAAGAACAACCCAGAAGAAGCAATACAAGAAGTTGTCAATCATACACAGGTTTTTATGAACAACTGGCCCAATCACTGTGATTCTGGCTTCTCCTGAAAGGACTGTGATTATACCTACATTCTTGGATATGATGACTGAGATTTTCCGTTGGCCCACATTTGTTCTGCACTAGCAACCAGCCATGAGTAAAACTGTCCCTGCCCCAGTACAACTTCCCATAAAGCCCCAGACTCTGATCCAAAGGATTTCTCAGTCCAAGCAAGGACTCAGCATAAAAATATGTGTTAAGAAATGATGGGAAACTAGCACAAAAGAAAGACAGGCTGTGTCATGCATAGCTGTCCATGGTGGTGTTATGGTAAAGTCATGCCAGGAAATAGAACTTACTGCAACTTCCATTTCACTTTCAGTTAACTTCTGTATCAAATCTTCAATCTGTTTACTGATAATCTGGAAATAAGAAAAATGGGGGAAGCTGATGCAATGTCCCTGCACACGTAGCTGGTACAACACAGCAGTTCAATAGATTTCTTGTTATATCAAACTCCCAATATTTCTAAAATAACTGCAATCTCTATTTGCAGTTCAGAGCAAAAGAAAACAACCTATCACACTGACAAACACCAGGCTTAGGTCAAATAACACCTTAATGAAGTCTTGATTTCTAAAGAGCTCGGGTAAAAGGCGGCTTGCCAAGCCCTATTCTATTAAAAGGTGAGAGAGTAAGGGAGAGAGAATGTACTAAGAACTGCTTCCCTACTGAATTCTTCAAGTAAGAAACAGCATCCTATGTATTCCTCCTACTGGAAAGATATACCATTAACAGCCCTTTAAGAACTCAACTGAACATTATCTGGAGCCTCAATGCAGGAACACTGCCAGGATTCCATCCTGCTTCTACTGCAGTCTAATACACCAAAATGCTTATTATAATAACACTAATAATAGTAAACTCAGAATTGCAGAGCTGTATGGATCATCAAATCCAGCCCATCAAGGAGGCCTAGTCCAGAGCTGGAAGGATCATCAAATCCAGCCCATCAAGGAGGCCCAGTACGAAATCAAACTCACAACCTCTGGCTTCACAGCCAGACACCTAAACCACTGAGCTATTATTTTTTTCTCACTATTTCACACAGGAGTCTTATTATTGAAGGTCAATGTTGAGATGCTTTGGATACAATAAGCCAGAACTTTCTGAATTCTGGTTTATCAGAGATAGATCATCAAATCCAGCCCATCAAGGAGGCCCAGTACGAAATCAAACTCACAACCTCTGGCTTCACAGCCAGACACCTAAACCACTGAGCTATTATTTTTTTCTCACTATTTCACACAGGAGTCTTATTATTGAAGGTCAATGTTGAGATGCTTTGGATACAATAAGCCAGAACTTTCTGAATTCTGGTTTATCAGAGATAAGCAAACATGCTAGAACAGAGTATTCAACTGCTCCTGACTGGCTGTTTTAGCCAGTAGGAGTGGCTAAACAATGAGGAAGTCACCTTCTGTAGTTCATTTAGCGTTACATGCAAACTGGGGTGTCTGTAGCACTGAATGGAGACTTCCTGGCTGTTTAAACCACTCCCACTGGAGGCAAAATCCAAGTGGGGGGTGACTAAGCAGAACACATCAGCATGTAGACTAATTCCAAATACACACAAGATCTGTGCAACATATATATCCCGAACATCAATATCCATCATGGCTACAATCCAGAAGTAGGCCATATGTGGCCTATCGAGGCCATTTTCATAGCCCATGAGTGTCAACCTGTCAAAAAGACATTTGCAAAAAAATGTTTTTTTCCCCCTTTTGGATTCCTCCTGCTATGGTGGTTTTGCAATAAAATACAGAACAAAGTTCTACAGACCCCCCCCCTAAAATACCCAAACCCACAGAAATGAAGCCAAAGGCAGACTTCCAGCAACATTTGGCCTTGACCAGGAGCTTCATGGTGCAGTGGTTAAACTGCAGTACTACAGTGAAGACTCTACTCACAACCGAAGTTTGATTCTTAGCTCAGGTAACTGGTTTGAACTCGACTCAGCCTTCCAGCCCTTCAAGGTCAGTAAAATGAAAACCCAACTTTCAGGGTGACGGCAATGTGTACCCTGCATAATTAGACTGTAAGCCACTCTGAGAGAGCTGTAGGTCCTATGGGGAGATATGCAAGCAGCATACTTTGGCTTATCGATTTTGTCATTTTTGTGCCCTGTTGGGACTGATGCTGCCTTCAGTGGTTTGGGGGTGGTGGTGGTAAAACACTGGCCCTGCAAGTTCCCTGAAGTTGCCCAACCCTGCTGTATTCCATAGTTACAACTCTCTGTGCTGACCCCTGCATACTGCCTATGAAGATTCTGCATTCTCTGCAAGAATGTTGACAGTAGAAGCGTCAGGAACCATCTGCCACCTCTGTCCTCTGTTCCAGGAAGAAATGAAGAGCTCCATGCTTGGTATTTATTGTTCTCTTTCTGCACAGGTTCAACATTCTTTGAAAAATCTTACTTAAGATTCAAATTACTGAAGGGTGCTGCTGAGCATTGCCATGCTTGGTCCCTGCTTCTGCACACTGTCTTACTTCTTTGTCTTTGCTTGCTCTGAGCAGATCCTGTAAGAGTCCCTTCATATCGTTGAGAGCCTCCAGCTCCTTTATCAGCAAATCCTCTTGCATTGTAATCTTTACCATGTCTGCTGCAGAAACATAACAGGCCTGACAAAATATTAAACTGGTGTTAAAAATCATTATTATCTCAAAAGAAAGAAAGAAAGAAAGCTTTGACCCAATTTTATCATTAAGTTAGCAACCTCGATATAAAGTCATTTTGAAAACCAGACTAGCACTTTTTTACATGTATGGAAGTCCTGCAAAAACACCCAATATGTTGCTGCAATACAGACACAGTTAGGGCACTATCGTAGTCAGACAGCCTCATATTGGCTTTTCTAATTGAGCTGGAAATCTGAAGGATGATCCATATGATTTAATACAGATGTTGTCAAACCAAACCTACAGCGCCATTTTTGTTGGGGATGTAAATTATTCACCCTCACATACGAACCAAGAAAATTCTCAAGACTATCGCCTTGGGGCAAGATTTTTCTTTTTCATCTGTGTTGGAGAAAAACTGTACACTTGTGAGACCAATTATGGGGCAACTACACAAAACTAAAAATGACAGCAAGACCTTAATGTTGTATGAATTTGAAAGATAGAAGGATTAAATGGGTCAATTTGCATCTTCCTGAGCAGTCCGTCCCTCCTTTTATGCTCACTCTGTGTGTGTTAAGAGAGTGCTTGTGCAAACTATAGCAGGAGGGGGGAAGTATTTGGCACCCTAATCTTGTGCTGAAGGCAAGAAGTCTCATGAGGTTAAGAATCCTTGACAGGCAGTCTGTCTTGATCACAAATGAAAGCACATCAATACTTCTTTGCACTGCTAGTTTTTCTACACACTTACTTGAATAAACATTCAGAGTCACTAGTATTGTTGCATATGGCATTTAACCCTGATCCATTCATGTCTGTTTCTTTTCTACAGGATGTACAGTGGTGCCCCGCATAACAACGTTAATCTGTTCCAGGATTAACGTCGCTATCCGTGTTGGCGCTGGGGGGGGGGGGGGGGGGAGACTCTGTTTAATGCGTTCCTATGGTGGAAAAATTCAGCAGTAAGCGAAGATTCCCCCATCCGGCCGCCATTTTCGCTGCCCGGGAAGCGAGGGCAGGGCAGGGCGCGAAAACGCTGCGGGCGCCCATTTTGCTGATCTGGCGGCCATTTTGGAACCGCCGATCAGCTGTTTTCTAAACATCGGAATGCGATCATCTAAACATTGCAATGCAATCGCATTAGCAATCGCAAAAATCATGTCGCTATGCAGATTCATCGTTAAGCGGTGCACTCGTTATGCGAGGCACCACTGTATGTGAATCCTACATGTATCTTTCCGTTCATAGATGGACATGTTTTATGTGGATAATAGGGGGGCCATGACAAGTGTGATGTTGGGAATATGTACAGTAGTGCAACTCTGCTTCCTGATAGTTTCATCTGGCAAGCATGCACAGGAACACCTGAAGAGAGCTACCAGTTCCTGCCTATCTGCTCGGGCAAATAACTGTGAAGGAAAGGTCGGCAGTGCCTGTGCAGACCAGTCTGGCAGACTCTCACCCTGACTGAGTAAATAGTCAAGTCCTGTGATTCAGGCTCCAAGTGTTCTTTTAAATTTAACACGTGTTTTAGGAGAAAAGCTAAGATTTAATGTGCCTTATACTTTTTGATATGCCTTGCTCTGCAAGAGCACCATTGTTGGTTGGCATGTTCTTTTATACTCGGGTTGGAACGTTCTTTTATACTTTTGGGGGCTGCAGCTCTCAGAATAAGCCAGCCAGAATGGCCACTCTTGTCCAGAAAATAAACTGCCCCTACCTCTGCATTTTTAATGGCCCTGATTAAAGTATGATCCAATAGCAAGTTTGGGAAAAAAAATATTTTCATGAACCAGCATAGCTATTTTTGTTTTCTTTTTATTGCTAGAGAAACACAGGGCACATTACGGTCCATCCATATTCTTCAAAAACATATGCCCTGCAGCAGCCAACCACACCTGTACTAAAAGCCACAGAATATACAAGCCCAGATCCACAACGCCCTAAGATGTGTGGCTCTGCCATTCGTGCAAAGAAAAAGTACGCCATTCTTCCGAGATTTGGCGACAGCTCCTGGTGATGAGTTAAAAACTATCCCACAAGGTCCCCTGAGCCCTAACGCGCCTCTTCATGGTACGGCATGACTGAGATTTGAGGGGGTAGGCAGAATTACCCAGGGTTGGTAAATCGGCAGTCAAGCTTTTATTGGACTGCAACTCCCATGATCCATTTCCCCAAGCTATGTGGTGGTTAGGATTGATGAAGAGTTGGAATCGAACAGCATCTGTAGGACTGCATGCTCCCACCCATAATCTTTGTATATTGTAGTATCTAATTCTGCAACCCTTCATGCTTGCTGGTTCCACTTACTTTTGTAATTCTTGCAAGTGTTTCTCTAAATGATGGTAGAAACATTTCTGTGGAACCTATGGCCAATTCTGCTTCATGAAACTTTCTCTGAAAAGCGACTTCATCATTAGCGGTATCTTCCCACATCCTAATATTAAAGAGAAGAGGTAAACTAGAGGATAATTCTTATTCAAAAACACCAGACACAGTCAATCAAAATTATGAAAACACTGACTGGTATTATATAACAGATACGAGCTTTTAACAAAAAGCATCTGTTGAATACCAGCGCAGTATGTATGTTGTTCCTAATATTGCCACCTTGTTATTATTACTATCAGCATCAGCATCATCATTATACAAAGCTTTTAACAAAAAGCATCTGTTGAATATCGGCGCAGTATGTATGTTGTTCCCAATATTGCCACCTTATTATTATTACTATCAGCATCATCATTATACGTGAAAGCTTGGGAACAGAAGGCCTTTGCTAGTACTGTAATAGAAGTATCAGGTAAACTAAAACTTTTGGACTTGAAAAATGTCTCTTTGGTTCAAAATAAGAGATGTTTTGTCTGAATAAGTTCAAAAGATTTAGACCAGGGTGGACGTATACACCCATGAGGAATTTTTGCAGACCTCCAGGCCACCCTACCAAACCCCTCAAGAATCCTTGAATGCAAACAAAAAACAAAAATTAACTAAAATTAGCAAACAAAAAACAGCCAGCATGGGGACAGTGGCAATTTCAGTAAAATAAATTACGGGGCCACCATCTTGCAGAAGACTGGCTCTAATGCTTGGAAATAATTGCATACCATATTGTGCCAGAGATATGAAAAATGACTTTTTAAAAATACTTCTTTTTAATCCCAAGAAAAGCACCTAGCCTGTAGGATATATCTGTGAGTACAACTCTTCCCACTTACGCTTACCCTTTTGTTTCGCTCCCGCTAAAGCTTGCTTCCAACGAGCTCTCCTGAGATTTGCTTGGAAGGCACAGTAACAGTTCTTTCACCCTGGTCCGGTGTTTATCCACAAGTCTGCTGTAGGAACTCAAACCCTCCTTCACAGATTCCACCTCTACACTTTCTGGAAGCTTAAAAAAATAATGATTTAGTTATCTTCCTTCTCCTTCTTTTCTCCCTCCCCCCTCCAAGTGAACGAAAAACTTCATTAAAAGCAATCTCTGCATCAAAATTAGGCAATTCAGAAAAACAAATGTGCATTTCAGAGACTCACGTTTCCATCCCTCCCACTCTATCTCACTGTGACACAGAGATAAACTATATGTTTGTTTGGAGTGTTTGCTATTTGGTAATGTGAAGTACAGGCACAGGGCCCCTGATCCAGATCAGGAATGCAGGAGGAGCAAAGAATCAGCTTGCCCCCAACAGGATTCTGATCCAGATCAGGTCCTCAGCATTTACCTCTAAATAAAACAAGAGAAAGGTTTTAGCTTCTCACTATACCTTTAAAGTAGCATATTTTATACACATTCATGAATAATCACTGCCACATATATCGGTCAAAGTTTGTAATTTTGCATGAATAAAATGTCAAAATAATTAAGGGGTGTAAGAATTATAATCCTGGAAAAGTGAGATGTGACCATATAATGGACGTTTGAACAGCAATGTACTTAATGCCTGTTAGAGGACATCTCCTTCTCAGACTTCTTGCTGTTCATGTGATGAAAGGGAGACAGCACAGGTGCTCTACTGCAGTGGTTCTCAACCTGGGGTCCCCAGATGTCCTTGGACTGCAATTCCCAGAAGCCTTCACCACTTTCTGTGCTGGCCAGGATTTCTGGGAGTTGCAGTCCAAGAACATCTGGAAACCCAAATTTGAGAACCAGTGCTCTACTCTTATCTTGTTGATGGTGGTGGATGAGCTAACCCTTGAATAGTGTTTCTGACAAGTGGATCACAAAATTCCCCATGCCAATTAACCAGGCACTTATTGTGCACATTTTCATGCACATGAAAATACATATCAACAGAGATATTTTAATGTCTCCTCTAACATATAGTTTAAAATGACCCCTTCACTATTTTTAAATGAAAAGTCCCTTATCAAGCCAGTACGTAAATGCTATTTGTACAGTTATCATTTCTTACATGGTAATCTGAATTATCCACGTTTTCATTTTCAGAAGTCAAATACTCTCCAAGCTGGCTGGATGTTTCTGTCACAGGGTGATCTTTTTTAAAGCTGGAATCAAAGGACTGAATAACTGAACAAAGTCTGTCTGCTTCCCCAGAAGTAAGGTATGGCGTAAGTCTTGATTCCTAAGAATATAATTCATAAAATGTTTTGTAGGTACTACTGCTAAAGAGACACACCTGTCCACATTTACAGAATACTTTGTATGATTGAAACAGAGGTTTAAATTGGAGGAACTATTTCAACAGATTCTTGTATTTTGAAACTGAGGGGAATTTCAAAAACATAGCCTAGATTCTGGTAAGAATAATCTGCCACAAAAATTTGCTTAAGTTGATAGATATACACACACCTCACAGTACAGTGGTACCTCGCTTTACAATTGGCCCGCATTACGATGAATCCGCTTAACAACGATCTTTTTGCGATCGCAATTGCAATTGCAAAACGATGGTCTGAATGGCGGAATTTCACTTTGCGATGATCGGTTCCCTGCTTCGGGAACCGATTCTTTGCAAAACGACATTTTTTGAACAGCTGATCGGCGGGGTCAAAATGGCCACCGGGGGATTAAAATGGCTCCCCACTGTGTTTAGGGACAGATTCCTCGCTGCACAGGAAGTGAAAATGGCTGCCAGATGGAGGATCTTCGCTGGACAGTGAGTTTTTACCCTATTGGAATGCATTGAATGGGTTTCAATGCATTTCAATTGGGTTTTTATTTTCACTTTACAATGTTTTCGCTTAACGGCAATTTTCCTGGAACGTATTGTCGTTAAGCGAGGAATTTGTACATGCCATCAAGGAGAGATCATCTCCTAAGGAATGGAGACAATAGTAATGATAGATATTCTGGAAAGACTGTTATATTGTTTACTCATGTGATTTCCCTTTTTAGCATAACTAAGTAAGTGGATGTAAGAATACTCTTTCACTCTCTGGAATTTTACCCTTTTCCCATCCTTAGTCATCCCTTCGTTATTTCCTTGTACCCACACCCCAACCCCTACTGAAATTAATAAAAACTTAGAACAGGAAAGAGATATCATCTTCCTTCTTCCATGCTCACTTGGGTGATATAGTATGATGATACTTGAGAAACAGTCACAGATTCCAAACTTTTGGTAATCCGGGTTTTCTTGGATTATACTTCCCAGAAACCGTGGCCAGCACAGCTGGTGATGAAGGCTTTTAGAAACTGCAATCCAAGAACATCTGGGTCACTCAAAATTGGGAACCACTTCTTTAGTCTATTAATTCCCAAATATGGAGGGAATGTGTGCTCTGTTGATGGCATACAGAAATTTGAGGGGAGGGCAGAGTATGAGAGTTCCACATAGAAAATCATTTTTAAAATCTGCTTAAACAAATTATTATGACAGCCACCAGCATTTAGCATTTTTCAAGAAGGACAGCTTGTGCTTATTTTTCATATAATTTTTAAATTACTATTAATCTACAATTATGAATAGACTAAAACAGGACTGGAAGATGGTAAAGAACAGGTGGGGAGGCGTGAGAGTTTCTCAAAAAACAAAAAGCTGTGATGCTGAAAAACTACTTTGCTAGGCACAGCTATAGCCCTCACATGGGCCAAAGCAGATATTTTGAATTAGCGTCATCTTCCTTAAGATGTCAAATTAGAAGGCATCTATTTTTAAATTCTGCCATAGGAACACTTTTATCCTTATTTAACATATGTGGAAAAAAACTGGGTCACAATTGAAAAAAAAAGATTTTTCAGAATGAGGGAAAATGGATATTTCAACAGCAAACGTTTAAAAAACAGCTTACTTCACAATAGCCAGAAGAAAACGGTTCTTTTTGCACATTTTCACAAGATTGATCACTGTTCTGTTCACGTAAACTTGACAGGGTCACTTTCTCTTCTTCCTAATAAATAAACATATACTGTACATAGTCTTTATTTTAAACCATAAAATACCTTTCTAACTTACTGTTTGATAGAAACTATAAATGAACAAGCTCACTGTTAATTCAGAGAAGAAAAGCAAGCAGTTTTCCAGTTGCATTGCTGTTAAAGTAATAGCTTGCCACTTGACTGAAGTGTTGCAGTTTTTCCTCCAATTAAATAGAGAAAAGAATTATTTCATAGAACCAACATTTCTCTAACAGACTGGGAGAAAAACAGAATGCAATGTTTCTTTCCAGGATATTGTATGGAACTAAATACTTCAAAATCTTGTTTTAATGATACGTAAGGTAGATTTCATAATTAGGTCAGAGCTTTTCACATCTGCCTCGACTCACTTAGCCCAAGGAGACCTTATACAGTTCTGGTATTGGCTTCATGCACTCATCCAGCCAACCCTAAATGGGACTCTTCCTACTTCAACCATTCACCACAGGCTATCTGCATCACAAGATAAACAGGACTGCAGCCAAAATCAAGTGTCTTCTTTGGTCCATGCTGGGGGTGGAGAGCAGTAGTAGAAGAGGGAAAGGTAGAAGAAGATCCTGCAGGCCAGGGAATAAGGGAAAGGCACTCTGCACATGCTTAGAGGAAAACTGCTTTTCAAACGTTAGCATCGCAGCCTGGCATTTCAACACAGGACCTCCTGGAATTTAGTTTACGAGCTAAGCACTGTGACCACCCACGACCACAGCCTGGGACTCTGAAGAAGGAAGGAAGGGGCTTTGCAAATCAAAGTCTCGACTGCTCGCCCAACCGAGCTCCCCGCTTGCAACCATCCCGCCTCCAGGTCCCCCTCCCTTCCGCTTGACTCTTTTCCTGCAATCCGTTTCAAGGAGACCATCCCCGACCTTACCCCACTACCCTCCATTGCCGCCCTTCTGCAGCCGGGCGCAGCGATCTCCGGCGGGAAAAAGCAAAGCCGCCCTGACGCTTCCTTCCCTGCCTGGCAACCTCACGAGCAGCTGCTGCAAGCGAAGAGCGTCAACTCTCCTTACTGAACATGCGCGCTTCCCTCCCGCGCATGCTCAGCAGAGCGTGGGAGCCCTCCTTTGCCCTTACTTTGCCCTCACTTGTGTATCTCTTGCCTCCCTGCCCGTTCCAAAATGAGGAAGCATGGGTTCGGACGGAGCCTTGGCGAGAGGGCAGTACGACTGAGGAAATACTGTTCTAATTCTGAAAAACAAACAAATTATGTGAATTAAAACAGCACGAGTGGAGCATGCGCAGTGGCTCTCGCTGTAGCTGCCGCGGTCCCTATCCTGCCCACATCTGACGTCCTTGAGGGCAAGCAAGAACGGAAGCACGTGCTGAGTTATAATTCGCTGCAGAGGTCCTGTGTATCAGGAATCGGTATTCAGGTTTTTTCTTACACTACCATTACTAATTGATTTACTTCAGTACGAAGACGTTTTCGTTATCAGCCACTGTTCTGTGAATGGCCAATTTTAAAAATCTAGCTGACAGTATCAGTATATCTGTGTTTAATTTCTCCCTTTAGCCCACAGTTTACGATCATTCCTTTTCTAACGTGTGTACCGAATTCCATAGTGGTTGAAGAACTACATAGTAGAATTTTTGACAGAATGTTTGTTTCTAGTAGAATGCACTATTTGAAGTACTACAATCTGGACTATAATGTTTTTCATCATACCAAGTTGCAGCCTGCTTCCACAGAACAATGTGGTAATGACACAAAACTTAAAAATAACACTTCACAATTGACACATGAATGTTAAATTCATAACTTTTTAAATTATCACAGCACAAACCTCAACCAGTGTTTCAAAACCAAGTCAATGTTAACAAATGGCAATGTTTGCAAGAAAAGAGCATGTGTGCAGCAGCAGTGAGGAGAGAGATTTTCTCGTTCCCAGATGATGGCAATTTTTAGAGTACAGTACTGTATTTTTCATTGTATTTTCATTGTTTTATCTTCTTATCTTTTTATTGCATTTAAATTGTTGTAAGCAGCCCAGAAACCTTTGGGTAATGTGGGTGACATATAAGTTAAATAAATAAACAAACAGTTCAGGTTATTATTACTCAGGCACCTTACCAATTTGCACTTGTATCATTCTACACTTTGACAAACCTATTATGAATTTTTAAGCAAAATGAATTAATTCAATAGAGTATTACAACACATAACATGTCCCACGAAATCAGAAAGATCCTGTTCTAGCCTCTCAGCTGCCTGCATTGCATGGTATTTGTGATTAGACCAATTCAACTGGGCCTTCGGACTATCAGTGTGATAGACAGGACTTTAGGAGAGGCGCCATGCAAATTTTCACAACGCTGGTTTATAGAGATGCTTCAGGGTTTTCATTTTTCCCTAACAAAATTATTTTTCAAGCATTATCCAAGATTCCAAGGGATATAGAAACCTGTAATTGTTATTTTGAAGTAAAAAGGGCAATGGTACTAAAATCTGTCTTCCCTCAACCACCTACCAGAAGCATGTGTGTTTTGTGAATAGTTTTGGTATTCTTACTTTGCAGGGTTGGTGTAAAAGTCAAAGTCCTTAAGCGTGAATTTTTGGTGACTCCCTGGAAACACTATGTGGTCAACGTGGGCTAAGGTGTTTGGGAGGGTACCCAGCAGCAAGATTTTCCACAGCCATCACCACACTTGGCCCTCCTGGATTTTATCCATACCAGGGAAGTCAGGGTAGTGTGGATGAATGGTTAGTGTGGTCTTCCCCAACCTGGCATAATCCTGACAGAAAGGTATCCTCTGGGAAATGGATTGAAAAGTTAAAGATTTTATCCATACCAGGGAAGTCAGGGGAGTGTGGATGAATGGTTAGTGTGGTCTTCCCCAACCTGGCATAATCCTGACAGAAAGGAAATGGATTGGTACATTAAAGAAAAGTTAGTTCTGGGGGGAAAAGGACAGTGATCTACACTGCTTTGAGACCATAACAGAAAAAGAGGGGTAAAAATACCACTAGTAATTATTGGAGGAAAATTCTACGAAGAGCAAATAAATCAGAATAGTGGTCCTCTTTAAGGTACAGTAAGACTGCAGTCCTATCCACATTTACTTGAACTCAGTGGGAATGAACTTCCAAGTAAGCTAACACAGAGGTTAGATTACAGTATTTCATTTTAAAATTGGTTAATACAACGAATAATGGAGCCAAGCCAATCAATCCTGATTAAACGTCCTCATGGGGTTTTTCCCCTTTCAGGAAAGAAGGCTGCACTGATAAGGTACAGATAGGTGCAAAGTTCTTCACATATGTGGCACTCTATACCATTTGGTATCCAAACAAATCACAAGCAAATGCTCGTATTTACCTTTGACCTGATTGTTAACATACAAGTCATAGCTTTATGTACTGTTCTAGATGTGCTTTGGAGAAAAATGAAGGTGTCCAACATAGATTAATAGTACAAGTAAAAATAAATTTTGAGCCTGTGAATTGCTATCCTAACAAACATGGTGTTAACCCTCAATCCCTGCTAACTCATCATTTCATTATGTGTTAAATCTTTATGTTTTCGTCAGGCATCCCTGGGGTATAGGGAAGGCTCTACAATACTAGGCTTCCTCAACGTGTGTAGAGGCAGGGGCATGCCCATGCAAATTAACTTAGGTAGGTCCAGCTTGTACAGAAGCTACAGGGTTGTAGATTTTGCTCCCAAAGCAGAATGATTATAAATCAGCAAAAGAGAAAAAGAGCAGAGACAACTTTCATATTTGTGATAGATACTCACATACATGGATTTCTTAAACTATTAGCAAATATACCGTAATATTTTTTCTTTGATCTATTGTCACTGTTATTTTCTTTAAAATTACCAAGCCCATCTCGCCTCACAAGGCCTAAAGATAAAACTATAAATATTCCCTACATGGAATTCCTCTGTCATTTTTTAAATCTTTAAATTGGATTTTTTCCTCTCTCTCTCTTGAGTTTTAAGTGAATCCCCACTCCTCTCTCTATACTCCTCCTCTTTCTTCTCTCTTCCTCTCATCTTTGCCCAGACTTGGTGTATGTTTTCTGTCTCTTGAGGCATTTTTACAACAGAGCCCTAAAACAACCTAAGCCAAATTACTGCATGTATATGTACCACACGCCCAAGAACTAATAAATATTAGCATGAAACTGATATTTCGTTCAACATTTCATTCTGCTTCCATGTGTCTGACGAAGTGGACGTATCCATGAAAGCTCCCTTTAAAATATAATAGTCTTTAAGGTGCCACATGTTTTTGTCTTGTCTTGTTTTGTTGCTTTCAATTTCCTTAAAGTACTTCATCATTTTAAATTAGACATGGGAGCGTTGTATTCATCTCCTGGGGGAAGACAAATATGGAGCCTGGCAGCAGATTTGTCCTGGAAGTCCATCCCCGCCCCCAAGAACCAGCCCATTCCACTCACTGGGATCCTTGGCATGTGCTTGCCTAGTGGCAGCGACATCGCAAACGTCGTCTCATTGGCGCTTCCGTCTCTCCTTCCAGCTATCTGCCCAGCAGCTGAGCAGGAAGACCCATCTTTCAGCCTCCTCTCTGGAATGGGTTGGCAACAGAGATAGGCGGAGAAGTGCCAGCAGGACTACATTGGTGATTGCTGCTGTCACTGGGCACAGACTGGTTCTGGGGGGTGGAACTGGACCACCAAAACACCTGTGCTGGCAGATGAATACAAAGCTCCAGCAGATGAATACAAAGCTCCCATGTCTAATTTAAATATGGACCAGGTTTCAACAAATATCAAATTTATTTATTGAAAACAAACAGATCCACCAGGAAGGTGAGCAGTCTTTCAAGGAAGTGTTCAGTTCAGTGGAATATTTCAATAAAGGCCTTAAGTCTCACAAATTCCTTTGCAATAAATTGATAAATTGCCTTAGGGGAAATTATACTCCAGTTCCCAGATGCAGGATATGGGTTTTCTGCATCACCCCTGCTTCCTTGGCCAAGCAGAAACATGTCTGTTTCAAAGGAGAGCCAAATGCAGAGGAGGAGTGTGTGTCCTTTCTTTGAAGAACTGGAGTGTGAAATCCAACCCACAGCTGCCTCAGCGGTAACTTTAGAACTACTGCCTCATCTAAGACAGTGGTTCTTAACGTGGGCGATAATGCCCCCCAGGGGGCTTTTTCATTTTTCAGGGGGGCAGTAGAACGAAAAGGGGCGGCGGGGGGGCGCTGGAGCAGAAGGGGGCGGCAGGGGGGCGCTGGAGCAAGCCAAAACTGTGAAGATGGCTGCAGCCTTTTTACAATGTGCATGAATATATATTTTCCTCCAATCTTAATTTAGTTTCAGAGTTTTCATCTTGAAATTTTTAGTTCCTGCACAGCCTTTTTACAGTGTGCATGAATATATTTTTTCCTCCAATCTTAATTAAGTTTCAGAGTTTCCGTCTTGAAATAAATAAATAAGAAAAGTATCATCACCATGGGGAGGGGGGCGGTGATAACTTCCTCAATGGCTCAAGGGGGCGTTACTTTCAAAAAGGTTAAGAACCACTGATCTAAGACACGAGTACCTGGTGAAACTTTACATCTAAAAATAATCTCCTGGCAAATCCCACCTTGCCATGAACCTTTGGATTTACAGAAATTGAGTTACTGTGGGGAATTTGCCTTTAGTGAAACTACATGAGGTTTCTTGGTTTGGGTGGCTAGTCTCACAAGGCAGCCTCACCTTTATTTTAATAATGATCAATTTAATTTAGTTTAATAATGATCAATTAAATTTATTCAATGGTTGTTTAAAGAAAATTGGGTGTTAACAAAACGTATTGACAGCAAAAAGAAAATAAAAATATAGGTTGTTAGAAATTTTGTTGCTTTAAAACTAAGGCTATGTTGTCAGGCTGTGGTTGTTAAGTTCCTCAGTAATAGGATTGGCGGCAATCCTAGTACTGCGTAGCCCACAGACTTTCCCTTCTCACCTTTTGCAAAATCAAGACTGCAGTTTCTTTTATGAAGTTCAATGGTCTCATTTTTGGTCTTCTTTTCCTGCTGCCTTCAATTTTTGGTAGTGTTCCCTCTTCCAGCAAGTCTTGTCTTCTCATAATGTGCCCAATATATGATTGCCTCAGTTTCGCTTTTAGAGAGTTATCTCTTTAACCAGCATATCCAGTTGTCAGGCATGATGAGAGCTTTAATTCAGCAGCCTCTAGGGGCTAATAAGATACCCATCCAAGCACAAGGAAATGAGAGAAGGAAACGGAGGCTTGGATACTGTACTATTTCTTTCTTTTTTAAAAATTGTGCTCCTACTTCATGTGCACACTCTATAAAAGGTTCTTCAGAATTCTGAATACAGTCATTCAGTTACAATTTAGGAATCTGGAAACTCCAATGCAAGTCTTTGTTCATTGTTTCAATTTGGCATCTGTCTGAATCTAACAGATGCACCTCTCTGCCATCTCCAGTTGCATATAAACTGTACACATAATTTTCAAAATATGCAACATTTATTCAAATATATATTAAATGGCAACAGCTAACACACTTTGCTACAAAACAATACATTGACATTTCGCTTTGGATATATTTAAAAATAGGGGCGTGGTGGTGCTGTGGGCTAAACCGCAGAAGCCTGTGCTGCAGGGCCAGAAGACCAAGCAGTCGTAAGATCGAATCCACGCGACGGAGTGAGCGCCCGTCGCTTGTCCCAGCTCCCGCCAACCTAGCGGTTCGAAAGCATGCAAATGCAAGTAGATTAATAGGGACCACCTCGGTGGGAAGGTAACAGCGTTCCGTGTCTAAGTCGCACTGGCCATGTGACCACGGAAGATTGTCTTCGGACAAAACGCTGGCTCTATGGCTTGGGAATGGGGATGAGCACTGCCCCTAGAGGCGAACACGACTGGACAAAAAATTATCAAGGGGAACCTTTACCTTTACCTATATTTAAAAATGCTGGCTGGAATCCAAGTGGCAAGTAGAGTAGGCCCATTGAATTAATTGAACTTACATAGGTGTTAACACCTACTCTATGAAACAGGTCTATTCGTGACATACTACCTCATTTCAGTCATTTTTGCATTGAAGTATGAAATGTTTCTTTGAGTCCTACACTCTGCTCCCCAGAAAATTAAAAGAACAAAATTCCCAGCTTCAAAAGAGGTATAATGTAGTTGTAATACTTAAAAGACTAAGGGCAGGCATAGAGCCATGATCCTTCAGATATTTTATGAATATTACAGATAATGTTTTTGAAATTGTTAGTAGGGGAAGGGGACTCAAGTCACAGGACTTGTTATCAAGTCGTTATTTAAGTTGCACTGGTGACTCAAATCATCCCCCTCCCATGACTTGGACTTGACTTGCAACTCCCTTCCTTTTTTCTGGAGAAAAGGGCTTGTTTTTAATAGGACTTGGTATCAAAGACTCAGACTTTGATTTGGACCCAAGGACTTACCAACATCCCTGCTTTATACTTACTGGCCAAAATCTGCATGCAAGAGGAAACACATAAGTTGTTGCATCTGACAAGATGCTGGGTGCACGCTGGTCATACACACCCATAAGTGTACATGCGAGGCACCTTGTCAGTTAGCCCTGGCAACATATATAATACCTTTTCATGTATGTAAAATGCCAACAAGATTTTGACCCTTGTTGATAACTAAAAGCAACTGCAGCTGCAACAAGAACAGCAAGCCGAATCTTGTTTAGGCAAATAAACACAATTTTACTACGTCCAATACTTACAGGAGCATAATATGAGTAATTGGCTTATCACTATGCATTTACATATGCAGGAAGGGCTCCTGCATGTTTCTTGGTTCTTACTCTAAGAGCTTGCACTTGCTTTCACCTCTTTCTCATTAAATGACATCATGCAGAAAGATACTAGATTGAATAAACTATTTGGTGAAATACCAGTCAGATTTTCTTCTATATATAGATATCTGCAAAGTGTTTTAAGGTATTTGGGTGAAACAAGCACTTCTTTTATCTACAAAAGGCTTCTGAGGGAATGGGGAGCAGGGAAGGATCTCTCTGGAGCAGTGGTTCCCAACCTTGAATCCCCAGATGGATTATAATTCCCAGAAATCCTGGCCAGCACAGCTAATGGTGATGACTTCTGGGAGTTTTAGTCCAAGAACATCTGGGGACCCAAGGTTGGAAACCACTGCAGGAGGAAGAGGTGTGGAAATATTCATGGATTCCCCTTCCTCCTGCTTTGGAGGGTTGACCTTCTGAATTGAGAAGGTGAAAGCAAAAATTGTTTCTTGCTAAAGAAACTCATGTTTCCTTTTACATGTCTGCAAGATTACTTATTGGCCTTGCTCAAGCCTAGACTTGCTTGATGTCTTGTGTCTGTCAAGGCAGTTCAGGTTTTCTTTACATGTTACTGCAATGAGTTCCTGTCAAGGCACATGTTGAGTAACAAGACCCCATGCTAATCTAGGGCTGAAGCTCAAACATATTTCTAAGAAGCTTAAAGGTGCATGACTGTAAGACTGCTACCTATTTTATCTCCATTAGTATTGCTCAAATAGGAGCATGGGAACATTGCAAAATTGGTTAGTCGCTGGAAATAGAAAAAGACATGAGGTTGAAAAGCTATACACATTTAGATTTAAGACATAACCCAACGACCTCACTTAATGGTGTTGGGTTTTCCCTGAAAACATGCATCTACTTGTGCAGGCCGATGCTGTGCAAGTGTCCACATACTGTGGTTTGTGGGAGTTCCCACATTTATTTTAAGCACCATGAAATATATATAAAATTTCATGTGTTTCCAACACCTTCTTTATGACTTCTTTATGTCTGTCAATGAGTTAGAATGATTTGTGTCCAGAGGAGAGTGGGCAAGATGATGAAAGGTCTGGAAAAACTAAGTCTTGTGGTGAGTTTGTGAGAGTTACAGAATTCATTCAGTTTTTTTAGTTATGTTATATTCCACCCATCTAGTGGTGAGCCACTACTTTGGGCCGTCTACAAAAGTCCAACATATACCCACAACATCCAACCAAAAATAACACATAAGAATAAAAATAACAAACCAACCATAAGCATAGTAAAATATGGCATAACAAACTCCCTAGATGGCAACAGCTACGTCAATTAAAAACTATACAGGATGGGTAGAAGAATCTCTCATCTGCAGAGGATGGTCTTGAATGCCTCTTTGAATAGCTTTTGACCTGCTTTCTCAGGGACAAAAGGATGGGATTCTGGCGTACATCAACAGGCAACAAGTTTCCTAATGTTGCAGGTGCTACTGAGAAGGCTGGGCTCCTGGTGGTTGTTTCTGGGCGTCCTTTGGGGTAGCCACCCACAGGTTCTCTTCCAGCTTTGCAATTCTGATTCAAGGTTGGCAGCTGAAGGTTCTGTCCCGCCTGCACAAGGGCTCTGTGCTTTGGGGTGTATAAACCTTCAAGTGTGAGCATGTCCCACTGACAGTGCTAGGACTTAATTCTGAGGAGACAAGCACAGGATTACTCAAGGAGTTGAAGCAGCCGTATTTCCTAGTTAATCCCTTTCCACGAATTCTTGTAAGGAGCCCACCACAAGGCTTCTATTGAGATCTTATTAATGAAGTGCTGCCATAACAAATGAATAGAAGGGTGTGTTTCTCCTCAGAAAACACCCTGGGAAACCACCAGGGATGGGGGTGGGGCGGGCTGGGAGCGAGAGTTGACAGCCAAATCCAAATCTTCTCAGGGAAACAAGAGTTAAGAAATGCTGCATGCACAGACAACACAAAACTTAATCCGACCTTAAATTAAGAAAGATCAATCCGCCACTCTTCCTCCAATTTATTGAGTGCATCCACCTACAGCCTGTTTGGCAACAAGAGAAGAGACTGGCGATTGACAAGCAGTGCTCTGTCCCAGATGGTCCCGGCAAAATGAGTAGAGAAACCAGTCAGGCTGTTGGGACGGCTACTGGTGTCCGAGGCCGGACGCCCTGGTGCCTGTGCCTGGCCTTTGTCCAGCTGCTCGTTGGTGGCACCTTCACCGTAATGCTAGAGGGCAGCACTTACCATGGGCTGGTGGTTGCCATTAACCCCTCTGTCCCCGAAGATCAGAAAATTGTCTCCAGAATTAAGGTAAGACCCCCCGCCCAACAGGTGAAGGCCATTTTCAGTCAAGAATCTTAACTGGAAGAGGCTTTGTCATGTATTCTAAAATGTTTTCCTCAAATGGGTTGGTCTGTTGCCTCCAAACTAAGAGTCCTGGAGCTCAAATTTGTTAAAGAAATAAATTGTAGCACAAGTTTTCCTGAATTATAATCCATTTAACCAGATAGGGTTAAACAAAAGTCATGTGGTCAGTCTTCAGAGGTACCAGAGGAATTCTGCCCCCCCAGGTAGCTTCTACATTTAATTTCTCCCTGAGTACGTTGCCTATAAGTTCCTGATAAATATGGACCTGGTGAAGTAGCCTATAGCTTACAAACACTTATGCTCTCTCAAAGGTGCCATGAAACCTTTTTGTTGTTTAGTTTATACTGTATATCTATGGATTTGGTTCCTCTGCACTCAGCTTCAAAATGATTTGTTGCAGGGAAGTGTCTTGTCAATTTTGAAGATCAGAAAATTGTCTCCAGAATTAAGGTAAGAGCCCCAGCAGGTAAAGGCTATTTTCAGTCAAGAATCTTGACTGAAAGAGGCTTTGTCATGCATTCTAAAATGTCTTTCTCAAATGGGTTGGTCTGTTGCCTCCAAACGGAGAGTCCTGGAGCTCAAATTTGTTAAAGAAATAAATTGTAGCACAAGTTTTCCTGAATTATAATCCATTTAACCAGATAGGGTTAAACAAAAGTCATGTGGTCAGTCTTCAGAGGTACCAGAGGAATTCTGCCCCCCCAGCAGCTTCTGCATTTAATTTCTCGCTGAGTACATTGCCTATAAATTCCTGATAAACATGGACCTGATGAAGTAGCTTATAGCTTACAAACACTTATGCTCTCTCAAAGGTGCCATGAAACCTTTTTGTTGTTTAGTTTATTTATCTATGGATTTGATTCCTCTGCACTCAGTTTCAAAATGATTTGTTGCAGGGAAGTGTCTTGTCAATTTTCTGCTTTGTTGTGATTGATGATCTTGTAATGCTGTTGCACTATTTATGTTTCGCTGTAATTTTCTTCATTTCAGTTCACTTTAAATCGCCCAGATAAACCATGGTTATATGGCAACCTGTACTTTATAAAGTTATACTGGCTGAAATCCAGCAGTGTAACTTACACCACATAAGACTGATCATGTCATCAGCCACGATTGTTTTTTAAAAGTTAAAAGTTTTCAATTCCTCCCCTAAAATCCTGAAGCTTCTTGCGGGTCCCTCCATGATGGGGGCGGGGGCTGTTGGAGGTATGAGACAGGTGACAAGTCTTTAGTTTCCAAAAATTACAGCTGCTAGTAAAATCATCCTGGCGATCATGATTTTCAGCAGTTATACTGCTGGATTTCAGCCATTTTATAATGTACAAATAATATGCTATTTTAAGGGGCCCCTCCTGGAGGCATTTCCTCCCTCTGTTTCTGCTATACTGGATTTTAAACTAAAAACTTCTTTAGTCTGAGATAGAGATGGGAAGGCCTGGAAAAAAAACTGGAAAATTTTGTGTTGGGGAGTAGTATTTTTTTCATTTCTTTTCCAAAGCCAATTTTTTTTTGGGGGGGGGGTCCAGAAAATTTGAAAAAAAAAAGGTGGAGTGTGGAATATTTTTTAAAAATGATAAAAACTATGTCTATGACATGGTGAACAAACTATAAATGATAAATAATATGTCTATGACATGGTGAACAAACTACATAACATGAATACCTTAGTGAAAGACTTCTGAGACTTTATGTATTTATGTTCTCAATTTCAGTTATAGTTAGGGTTACCATTCGGGTTAGGGTTACAATTTGTGTTAGAGGTAGGATTAGATTTGTGGCTTGTATTTGGGCTGGAGCATAGAATAGTGCTAGGGTTAAGATTAGGGTAAACTTTAAAGTCAAGGCTATGGCTTTGGCTTTTCTTAGGACTTGGGCTCAGCCCTAGCCCTTATCCTACCTTTACCCTAACCCTAAAAGCAAATGCAAACAGTACCTTTAGACCTAACCTGCACCCAAACCTCAATCATAGTCCTAAACGGGAACCTAACACCAACCAAAGCCCTAGCCCTAACCTTTACACCCTAAACCTTAAAGCACAACCACTTGAGGATATTGGCAAATACTTCCTTTCCTCAGCAAAAAGGCAGGGGAAGTGAAAAAATAAAAGTAGACTCTGCTTGTCCACTGTTGATGCACTTCAGCACTTACATAAAAATTTAAAACACTGTTTGCTTTGTCTTAAAGCCAGGGTCCCCAACACCCGGTCTGCGACCAGGTCCATGGGTGTTCCAGCACCGGGCCGCAGAGACGGATCTCCGCGCCCCTCTCCACTTGCACCATGGGCGACATGCCCCTGCCCCTCCATGCACGGAACCCGCCCCCCACTGTTGATGCACTTCAGCACTTACATAAAAATTTAAAACACTGTTTGCTTTGTCTTAAAGCCAGGGTCCCCAACACCCGGTCTGCGACCAGGTCCATGGGTGTTCCAGCACCGGGCCGCAGAGACGGATCTCCGCGCCCCTCTCCACTTGCACCATGGGCGACATGCCCCTGCCCCTCCATGCACGGAACCCGCCCCCCAACCGGTGGGTCCCCAACACCCGGTCTGCGACCAGGTGCCGGTCCATGGGTGTTCCAGCACCGGGCCACAGAGACGAATCTCCGCGCCCCCCTCCACTTGCACCATGGGCAACATGCCCCTGCCCCCCCATGCACGGAACCCGCCCTCCAACCGGTCCGTGGTTCCAAAAAGGTTGGGGACCGCTGTCTTTTAAAGGACATTTAAGAAACTCCTCACAGTTCTGCTGCTGGTAGTTTCTTGACCAGTCCTTCAGATTTCTTGATCAGTCCTTTGGATGAAGCAAAGAAAAAGAAATGTATATGTGATGCAGCACAGCAGTGAGGGGCAGTTAGTATCTTAGGAAAAGATCCTCATGAAAGGGAATTAGTATGAGACAAAGGTTTTATCGTGCAAATAGCCTGCCTAATTTTTGCATTTTTTGCACAAAGCATCCCAAACTTACCCTTGTAACTCTCTTGTGTATTCTCTCCCCCCCTTTGCTTAAGTCTTTCAGTTTCCACGAAAAGTCTATTAAAGAACGAAATATGTGATGTTTTCACAATGTATTTGGCATCTATCTTAAGGTGCCTCTCCACCTAGAAATAACCCTGGGCTGAAATAGCGTTGCTTGGTATATATTAAATTGTAGCTTACTGAACTGGTGGGGATTTGGTAAATTAACTCCTCTGTAAGTCCCATTGATTCTAATGGGCCTACTCTAGTGCTATGCTAAGCAACAATATTTAGGCAAAATAACATAGGCTCCTAAGGCTTTATTTGAGAGAAGGATTTCTGGCTTCACCAAATATCGGTTTCTTTTTATTCTGAGGCATAATTTCAGCTTTACTTGTTTATAGAATGATTTATGATCCTTCATTTTTATTCTTGCATGAGCTAGAAATTCCTGTTAACACATTTCCCTGCTACTGCATTGTCTTATTAGGAAATGATTACTGATGCATCTTTTTATTTACACAATGCTACACAAGGAAGATTTTGTTTTGGAAGTGTCAAAATCTTAATTCCTGTAAACTGGAAATCAGGTGCTTATGCAAAGCCCAAGCAAGAGCTGTACACAAAGGTAAAAAGCTGAGTCCAGTTTATTCATAAATCTTTATTTCAGTCTTCCAGATATGTGGTAGAAACCTTTAATTTTTAAAGCAGCTGGGGAATTCCAGAAAATGTGTCCCAAATAGAAGTCAAACTTTAGGAAGAGACAGTATTAAAATATAGAGATAATCTAGGATTACAACAGTGGAAACAATCTTTTTAAAATAAGAAATTAGCCTTTCTTGCGATATTTTGGTAGTGAAAACCTTGTCTTGCGTTTCATTGTACCATAAGAAATATTCAGCTGAGGATGAAGTAGAAAAACTGTAGTGAGGTATAGTAGAGAGAGGATAAGATATTAGCATGAGATGTGGACATCAAAATAGTTCTTGTTGGATGGTATATCCACTGCTCGTTCACATGATTTTTCTTTGATTTCAGGCAGATGTCATTGTTGCTCCACCTTACTGGAAACATGGACACGATCCATATACGTTGCAATATGAAGGATGTGGAGAGAAAGGAAAATACATACATTTCACCCCAAACTTCCTGTTAAATGATGGTTCAGTTGGAATCTATGGCTCATATGGTGAATCTTAAAAACATTTTTATCTTATAAGATTCTTTTTTGCCTTGAGAGTAGTTTCAAGTATCTCATATCTGTTTTTCCTTACAACAAACAAACAAACAATACATATATAAAACTGAGAATGCACACATGCTATTTTTGGAGAATGACTAAACTTTATCACTGTTTCAAGGACCATTTATTACATACCAATATGCCAATGAGATCAGTGTTTATTCAGTAATTTCAGGTTCAACACATGGGAATCAGTTTTTCTAAAATGGAACAAAAGCAACTGTTTTTTTTTCCCCTTCTCTCTTACAAGATACAGGTAAAGGTAAAGGTTCCCCTTGAAAGGTGTCCGACTCTAGGGGGCAGTGTTCATCCCGTTTTTCAAGCCATAGAGCCAGCGCTTGTCCAAAGACAGTTTCCGTTGTCATGTGGCCAGTGTGACTAGGGAACACCGTTTTACCTTCCCACCGAGATGGTACCTATTTATCTACTCGCATTTTTACATGCTTTTGAACTGCTAGGTTGGCAGGAGCTGAGACAAAGGACAGGAGCTCACTCCGTCACATGGATTTGATCTTACGGCTGCTGGTCTTCTGACCCTGCAGCACAGGCTTCTGCGGTTTCAAAAGACTAATATAGCATTTTTTTTAAAAAATAACAGTATTAAAGCACTATTAAATGAATTAAAAAGTTAAAAAGAAATATGAATGAACACAGTTTAAAAGCCATTTTAAAACACAGCAAAAAGAAGTACAACACACACACACACACAGCCCTTAAAAGCCATTTTAAAACACAGCAAAAAGTACAACATACACACCCCAGCCTCAGCCTCAAGCAAATACTGGGACCACAAAACAGCAACACCGGCAGGGATACTAAACCCTGTCACAGGCCCAAATGCCAACTCTGCCCACATATCTATTCATGATTACTGGACCTAACAATGCCACGTACAATATCAAAGGCAGCTTCACTTGCTCCTCAACTAATGTGATCTATGCCATTTTTTTGCCAACAATGCCCCTCTGCACTCTACATAGGACAACCAGGACAATCGGTATGGAAATGGGTCAATGGTCACAGATCTGACTGACATCAGAAATCATAACACAGAGAAACCTGTCTCCAACCATTTCAATCTACCAGGAAACTTGGTAGAAGATTTGAAAGTCGCTGTTTTAGAACAGAATCATTACAAACCAAGAATACAAAGGGAAACAGCTGAGATATAATTTATACGCATAATGGACACACATATAAATGGACTGAATATAAGCCTAGGTTTGTTAAGTCATTACCAAATGTAATACAGTACTTCTGCTGTTATTTACTGCCACTGTTATTTTCTTCATAACTACCAAGCTCATCTCTCATCAAAAAGTTCAAAGGTACAAACTGTCAATATTCACTACATTAACACACGTGATTCCTGTGCTAGTTACTTTTATATATTCTTTTCCCCCCTCTTGTGTTTTAACTAAATCCCAGTCTCCCAACCCCAACCTTTTCTCTCTCTTTGCTCAGGCCTGGTGTCTGTTTTCTCTCTCCTGGAGGAAGGTTTACAACAGTACCCTAAAACACATTATTCATAAATTATTGCATATAGATGCACTATTACTCAAGAGCCTATGAATATTTAAAATGCTCTGCTTGCGTTTCCATGTGTTTGGTGAAACTGACATGTCCAAAAAAGCTTACATTAAAATATAATAGTTAGTCTTTAATGTGCCACATGTTTTTGTCTTTTCGTTTCGTTTCGTTTTCCTTTGGATTTTGTCTGATATGCTTGCACAGACTAACACAGCTACCTCCTCCAAAACTACACTTTTTAAAATTAGTCAGTTAGTGGCTGAAATAAGCATGACCAATATCCTGTTGTGTTACACAGTTGTGGCAGGGTGTGATTGGGTTATTTACTCTCTCTGGGTGACTCCTCCGTTTCTGCGGGAAATAAGAAGGGAGACGTCTTGACAGCGTCTTAAAAACTGTCATTTTTATTGTCACTTACTTCCTCCAGCACGTTACTTATGGGGTCAAAGAATTTCAACTCGGGCAACAAGCCACAACTAACAGAACCGAAACTTTTGCCATAGTCCCACGGACTCAGCGGTGAATTCTCCCACACCATTCCCTGTAATCTGGCCTTCGGGGAGGAGTACTTCTCAGGGCGCAGATCGTCCCACAGCATGCGTGGCGAATCCAGCCTCTTTCATCTGGTCGGTCATAAAAACAGTAATGGACAATCTTGGCTTCCCTCTGTAGTTCAAGCTTGCACGGCGCCACAATCACAGTCCATTCTATAGTCACGAACTGGGTCGGCTTAGGTTCCGGCAACAGTCCTCCTGCCTTTAGGTTCAGGAAGTCCTTTAGAAGTCCCTGGGTTCTTATATTCTCAGTTTCTCTCCTCCGCGCTTCTATCCTCTTTCTCTCATAATCTGCTACAACCGAACTGAACAAACGCACACCCTCTTCATTTATATAATCCTCCCACACTGTCAACTCTTGCTCCACCCCATGTCCCTCCTTACCCTCTTCTACCAGACAAATCTCTACCTTTCCCGCCTTTTCCTTGGATTCAACTTCTCCCGCCTCTTTCGCAACTATCAAGCCTTCACCCTCTTGTTTCCCCTCACTTTTCTCACTCTCTCTATCTTCTTCTATGGATTGATTACTATGGATGGCTCACTTATACACACTCCTCCTTCACACAGGGTGATAAGGTACTCTACCCTCCCACTCTGGCAGGTTCTCTTCTGAAGGACCAGTCTCACATTGGTTGTGAGACAGATTGCTCAACAGCTGCATGAGTGGTTGTACAATGGAGAACTTGCTGGAGCATATAAATGTAAATGCTTACGTAATTGTCCTAATAGGATACTGAACCAAGTCTTTGCCTGCTGGGTGGATGGACAACAAGGAAGGAGACAGACGTAGCCTCTTTAGAATGGAATTCCATAGTCTTCTGAGAGCAGCCCCTGAGAAGGCCCTTTCTTGTCTTCTCACCAAGTGGTACAAAAGATGGAACAGGAAGAAAATGTCTCTCCCTGAAGGGCCTTTGCTGATTCACATGGGGAGATAACAGTCTTCCAGATTGTCTGGACCCAAGGCAGATGCGGCTCTGTGCGTGATAATCAGCAGTATCGATTGCTGGCTCTGACTTCAGTAGGCTCAAAATTAAACTCATCCTTTTTTCTTCCTGCAGTCAAATATTCTAGGGTTTGGGTGGGTGTAAAATAGATGAATTTACTTTTTAGAGACCCAGTTACACAATGGAAAAGCCAATTCAAATCAGCCTGGCTCTTTTTGCTCTTGAGGTGGAGTTTTTTCCCCCTCTGCTGCTGGGGGACTTCTGCTTTTTTTCAAACTGGAAAATGCAAACAGACTTTTCTGCATTTTGTCCTCCAAAACGGTGGGAGGAGTGATTATGGGTGGTATTCTGGTGGCCTACTAAGCTGGGCACAGTGTTTTGAACAGCAGGAACACCCATCCCCACAATCTTTCTCCTTAATCACCTCAAAGTATTTTTATTTTTAAGAAACAAACGACCAAGTTTAGTGCTAGATCACCTTATCACGACATTGATGCTAAATTCGTTTAATACTAGATCACCTGTTCAGGGACCATGAGAAATAGAAAGAACTCTGCTAAACTACAGCAGATTATGATGTTTCTATGGTACAGTATATGCGCTTGTGTTTGTGCGTTAAGGAGAACTTTAGAAAATGGTCTCTTTTCCTTAGTGCCATGCAACAGTTCAAACAGCCCACCAGCTTTACAATGAACCATAAAAAGAAATTGAGATTGTCACAGCCCCCCTTAATTTGATTAGAGGGTAGGATCAAATTAAGGGGGGCTGTGGCACAGATCAAACTACATGGGATTGAGAGGCAAGTGTGGGCATTGGCACTGAAACTATCTGCATCGATCATCTGTGTGATCTCCTATGAGTAATCTGATCAGAAACATGAAATGGGCTGGGAATCAAGCCGCAGGAAAGCCAAATCATTCAAATTCAGCTGGCCGGTGTAGTTGCAGATTAGTCTATGGTACTAAATTCTTTCCTCCCGTGCTGGTCAGCACACAGAATATCCAGTGTTAAAATAAGTAGTGTTATATAAACGTAACAAGTTTAGAACTCAGAATTTATATTTCTTACTGCACACCAGTCTTATGATTTGGACCATGACAAGAAATCCAAATGCTGACTTCTTAACTAGCAGAAGATCAGCACTGAAATTGACACCACTCGACTTAACACTGGCCTAAATACTTTATTGGAGAGAATGTAACTGAGTAAGCAGTGGCATTTAATTTGCAAGATCCGAGCAGGGCTGTTAATGACACAACACTGAGGTACCACCAACATGAATCTGCACAAATGAATTCAAATACATCTTTTATAGACATCTCTTTTTCGCTTGGTCATTTTTTGCATGAAAAGGTATTAAGTAGTCAGAAGTAAATCCCATTGATTTCTGTTAGCTACTAGGAAAATATGCTCAGGATAGCAACCCTGACATCCTTATTCCCTTTTGCCAAATCTCCTGAGATCACTAGTTCTTTACACAAGCAAGGAATGAAGGTTACAATCCTGTGGGTGCCTGTCTATGGGGAATTAGTTCTGTGGAATTCAGTGCCACTTTCAGTGGCTCCGAATAGAGCATCATCAAGGACATTCATTTTGTTTACAGCTCTTCCTACCAATGCTATCTTGCTTCTTTGGTTCAAAACTGAAAACAATATTTACTGCTGATCTTCTTTGGATTATGTTAAATACTTATACCAAATGCCATCATAAGGTAATTTTTTGTGCTCTATGCAGGCAGACTTTTTGTCCATGAATGGGCCCACCTTAGGTGGGGAGTATTTGATGAATACGATAGTGAAATGCCTTTCTACATATCGGGACAAAATCAGGTTAAAGCCACAAGGTAATGTGTATGTACTGTATGTGCGACATGTATATGTGCATGTTTGTGTACATTCTTGTGTTCACGAAACATTTTCCCCTCAGAATTTAAAAAAAAGGACCAAACAAAACTATGATCTGTTTTGTGTCTCTGCCCATTTCAATATTTATTTCCTCCCTTTGTACTCACATAAGTTTGCTGATTCTTTGGTGGCATTTATCTGACTAGGTCCTGCTTGCCTTTTTTGCATTTCTAGATGTTCATCTGGCCTTACTGGAATCTATGTCTGTGAAAAAGAGTCCTGTACCCAAGGGAACTGTGTCATTGACCAGGTGACAGGACTTTTGAAGGAAGGATGTGTTTTTATGCATGACAAAGATCAAAATGCATCGGCTTCCATAATGTACATGCAAAGCTTGGCTTCTGTAAGTGGCTCTTCACAACCTCTGCTTCTTTTTTAATTATGAACTACACAAACCTTTATTTCAGTACTGTATATTGGGTGAGGGAGTAGAGTGGAGAGGCCCCAGGCTGAAATTGCCCACAAAAGGAAGAACATAATTCCTCCGGTTGCCAAGCCAAAGGGAAGGGTATTGTGAAGAGAGCATGATAATGCTGCAGAGTGCTGGGCAGCTATACACATTTATAAATTTTAACACTTATCTTTTTGAACTAATTGGCCAGAATCCTATTGCCCAGTTATGCAAAAGGTATAACTTTCTGGTATGAATCATTGTAAATTATGAACTCTCCATAGACATTATCTGTTTCATACCCAATTGCATGACTCAGTGCACAACAGATAATATCTGCAAAGCTTCCTTAACTTACAGTAATTTGCCTCTAAAAGTTACACCATTTGTGTAATTGCACCACAGGATTTTGGCTACTGTCACTTATCTGTCATTTCCAATTCTTCCCAGCAGGCAGTGGTTGGTGTTTGTATAACCACACCAAAAATTGGAAAAAGGAAGGGAATAAGACCGCAGTGGGAAACAGACTCCATGCTCTAACTGTATGACCTATGCAATCAAAGCTCCTACAGCAAGCTTCCCTTCTGCAGTCAGTCTTACGGCATACAGTAATTATATTTCTGTAAAGTTTAGTAAGTTGGGTGAGATGAGAGAAAAAGAGACTGCTCTAGATTACAAGAAGGCTATGTAAGGAGCAATACAAGTCATTCACCTTGCTGTAAAGCCCTGTGAAATTATAGTGGCTGCTAGAGGCGCTCAAGGATCTCATCTGAGCCCTTTCTAGCACCTTTGCAATTGGAATCTACCGGGCAGCTCTTGGGCTTCACTGAGGGACTTAGTTTTTGCTTGTCTGTTGATGCCAGGAACTCTGTGTAACATACTGTTTTTCCTTTCCTCATTGTAAAATGTGGGCCATATACAGTATGACAAATGGAATAAGAAGGATCCATTGTGATGTTGTTCTGCCTTGGTGGAGAATAGTGTTTCTTTGCTCCAGCTCATATTCCTCTGAAATTTGAACAAATACCCCCAATCTAGGCCATTTTTAAAAATACCGGTCCAAAGGCAGTTCACAATCCTATTATATAAACAATTCTGAAAGCCTAAGCTGCATGTTTATGACCTTATTTTTTGGACAAGAATGACTCACCGGATAATAAAACCCGATTACAACACTCAAATTAAAAATAAAATAAAAGAGAATGTTCAAAAACACAGTGACACTACAGTCGAAAACTGACAGGTGACCAGCAGATGGAAAGCAATTTAAAAGACACAGATAAATAGCAAAAGGTTAGTATATCTGTGGAGATTCTTAGTCATCTCGGTGTGGTTATCTGGAAGTTGAGTCATGACAACTGGACTTCTTTCTTGTTAGCTTGAAACGTTTTGCTACTCATCCAAGTACAGTAGCTTCTTCAGTTGTTAAGGGTCATTAACAGTGATCTTTCTGTTATGAGTGGTCCGAATCTTTCTGGGGATGGTTGAAAAGGCAGCATGATAAATAAGAGAGAGATTTTATCTAAGGCCTCCACCCCTGTTGATTGGGAAATTTTCTATATGCACATGTATGGCCTCCCTGACCCCTCTCTCAAACCACCTATCTTCTCAGTCCCAAATGACATCTTGGTCATCAAATGAGTGTCCCTTGTTCTTCAAATGAACACTGCTGATTGTGGTCCTGGGCCGTTGCCCTTTTTGTGCTTGGCCATTCTCCTGTTTAGTGGCTGTTTCGTTTCTCCAGTGTAGAGCTCCGAACACTCCTTTTTGCATCCCCATGCACTTCAAACCTACAAACACACGAAGGCAAAGACTCATCCACCCAAAAGACCTGATACCAAAACACAACAGGAGGAATATAGTATATGTGGTCCAAAAGAGGTCACCTCCCTCTTTTCTCACTGTGCATACTGCTCCACCTTCCAGAAACATCCAGTCTAGGTTTAACCCAGTATGTATTGCTAAAGGGAGGAGTGCTTCTCTGCTTAAGAAACTACAGATCTGCCATCACTGTAGTCTGCTTTGGTATATTAAAGGATGATCTCAAGAAATAGGAGGAAATTTTTCTGCTCTGATCTTGTAAAGTGATCTGACACAAATTCTTGGGAGTAAGTTTCGAAATGTTGTGAATTGATGCCAGGGCTTGAAAAAGTTACTCTTTTAGACTATAGTTCCATCTGGCAAAGTTGGCTGATGTCAGAGGGAACGTGTTCCAAAATGTCTGTGTCAGCGGTCCCTCTCCGCCATTTCTGTGATTCCAAGCTGCCCTCAGCTGGAGAGCTGTAGTCCAAAAATGTAGTTTTTCCAGGCTCTAAGTGACACAAGTCTTTTGTTTCTTGATTCCAGGTGTTTAAATTCTGTGATGCAGGCAGCCATAATGCTGAAGCTCCCAATCCCCAGAACAGAATTTGCAGCTACAAGAGCACATGGGATGTAATCAGGGGTTCTGATGACTTTAAACTCAGCATTTCTCTGGCCAACAACAGCTTCCCTTTGCCTCCCACCTTCACATTGTTACAGGCTACGGAGAGAGTGATCTGCTTAGTTCTGGATTTTTCTGAAAGTATGAATGAGGTAAAGTCTTAGTGTTTGAGGGACAAAATGGGCATCGATCCTAAAATTGAAATGTCTTTGCTTTTGGTTAAATTGTGCTTTTAGAAATACTGCTGCCCTTACTGTGACAGAGAATAATACATAATACATATATATCCCTATATACAGACATTCAAGTTACACAGAACTCTTGATTATGAAAGCAACAGTGTGATATAGTGGTTTGCATTGGACTGGGGCTTAAGAGACCCGCTTTCAAGTCCCCAATGAACTATGACACTCATTGGCTGACCTGGGGCCAGTCACACTTTCTTGTATCATATTATTTTTAGTGAGTAAAGGAATAATGACATGGTGTTTTATCTTCCTACAGAACAGCCGGTTCAATCATTTGCGCCAGGCAGTGCAAGTGTACCTGCTGCAAATTGTGGAAGACAATTCCGACGTTGGGATTGTCACTTTTGGTGGTGTAGCAGAAGTCAACTCTCACATCCGTCGCATAGTCAGTGCTGATGTGCGGAAGCAGCTTGCTTCAGGCTTGCCAGTTGCTTCATTTGGCCAAGAGGCAAATGCATGTGCTGGTTTACAGCTGGCACGGCAGGTGAGCACGATTGGTTCAGATATCTTTTCGATATTCTTATGCTCATTGTAGGAACTCAGCAGTTGCGGTTCTGGAACTGGTATTTTCCCTCACGAGACATCCAGCTAGGGGATGGGTGGGTGTAGCCCATGGGGTTGCATAATCCCAGAATTAAAATATTTTTGAGAGGGAAAAAAGACTGGCCCAGAAAGTCCCCTTCGTCCTTTACAAGGAATATAGGAGATTTTGCTAAGTTTTGAGGGTTCCTCAGCATTCTGCTCCCCATCCCATTTCTCCTTAGACTAGCTGCTAGAAGGCTGGACAGAGTTTTATGAGTCTGTTTTGTTTAAAAACATCAATGTTTGTGAGGGCAGAGTTGGTGGAGGCATTAGTAATATACGCATAAAATGTGTTGGTTTTCCTTTATCTGATTTATAATCACGTGACAGTCACATGATTATAAATCACTTTTAAGATTTCCTAGAGGGAGTGCAGCACTGAGCTTCGTTGCCTGGATCAGCTGGGTGGCGCAGCGCCTACTCAAAGGCAGCGACCCAACTTCACTGCTGCTGAGGACTCAAAGCCAGGTTGCTGCAGCTAGGCAAGTGCTGCACTGCCTGGCTAATCCAGGCAGTGAATCCCAGCACTGTGTGCTAGACGGCAGTGCTGCTCCTCTTCTCTGCCGCCTCTCCCACCACCTCTGCGGTTGCTGCTTCCTCTTCCTCCTGCCTCTGCCACCACTGGTCCTCCTCCTCTCCCCTCCCATTTCTCGCCTCTTGCTGGTAAGCCAAAGTCACAATTAACTCCAGCAGAGGGGTTTACAGATGCCCACCTGGTTGAAATAAGTCAGTTTCACCATTGATTTAAAATAAATGACCCTCTTGTGCAGGAGAATTTTGCCTCACTCTGCAACCCAAAAACACGTTCCCAGGCCAAAAAGAAAAAATAAATTTTTTTAAAAATCATGTTTCCATAAGACACCTTATTTTAAATGAAAAATTTAAATGCTAAACTTGAATCAACACCAGTTCTTATTGGGAGCATAACCACAACTTTTGGGATAGGATCTCAGGAGCAATTTTGGCCTTCCAAAGTCCAGGGATGGATACATGCACCCACCCCCGACCTCTGGAGGTCCCCAAAGTATATCTAAAGCTTCTTAACTGAACTACCAGATATGGCCAAATGTCTAATTACAAAATGGGAAAAAGAAAGATTTAAAATGTTATTTATTCCAGCCACCGAACATGACAAACCAGAAAACGTAAGGAAATGCTGAAGGCACAAATTCAAAATGAAACATAGCGCAATGAGTTCCTGGTGAGGTTTTCAGACCAGTACAATGTTCTTTTGATAGTTTCAGTATTTCTACAGCATTTAAGAGAAGCTTTCAAGCTTCTAAGCACGATTCTAGCAATACTGTCCCAGAAACATGTCCTGTTGCCATATTGGAGCAGGCTGGATTGGGCTAAATATGGTTGCTCATGGTCTTGTAGAGGTGTGGTGTGCTGTTTGGTGTGTTCCTTGCATCTACATGGTGTACTCATCTCAAACAATTCTATTTAGCTCACCTATGTTTAAAAGGGAATAAAAAAGAAACAAAACAAAACCTCTCTCTTCATACCCTCATGTTTCCTCCTCTATCTGGGAGGAAGCTTTCATTTAAAAAGAAAATTTCTGGGAGATACAATGGATTAGCACTGCCTTAGTGGCCTTTAAAAAAAAACAACCATTTGCTTTCTCCTTCTCCCCTTCTGTGGTAGGGCAAAGGAAGTATTTAATTTCCAAATATTGTTAAGTAGTTAAGCTGTCTACTTAAGCCCATTAATGATATTGGGAAATTGAAAGTAGCAAGCCATCTGTTTTTGTTCAGTCCCAGTGATCACACATGGTGGAACCTAACTGAAATGGAGAAATCCTAACCACAGCTAAAAAGAGTAGTCCCTGAAAGGGAGTCAAAAAGATGTAGGTGGATTGAAATTGGGGGGGGGGAGAGGAACCTAACCAAAATGGAGCAATCCTAACCACAGCTAAAAAGAGTAGCCCCTGAAAGGGAGTCAAAAAGATGTAGGTAGGAATGGTTTGGGGTCAGGCTTGTTCATACTGGCACCCACGTTATGTGGTTATCAGGAAAGGGAGCAAACCAGGCCACCTCCAAAGCAGACCAGACAGTGGGACAAACCCCAATGTAGCCCCAACCTTGGTATGGTAGATTGAAATGGAGGAGGGGGGAACATTATATTTGCAAGAATAAGATGGATCTCATTCAGTTCTTTTTATACATCTCATATAGCAGCACTGCTTATGTAAGCATCAGTGAATCATATAGCTGGAAAATACACAGTAGAAACTCACCTGGACAACAGCACGTTGTTAAGAAGAGTATATAGACACCATCTATTTGTTCACTTATTTTGTTTGAATATTTTTATTGTCTTATTGCATTCCTCTTTGGTCCTCCAAGTAAGAGATATGTTGGGGAAAATATACAGAGAATATTTGTGTTAAGGTCAGCAGCTCTTTTGAATCGCGAGTAATTAAGGAGAGGTGTGGACTGTGAGGCATATCCTGAAAGTAGCGTTATTGGTGGCTCTACCCTTTGGTACACTTCCAGCTATGCATGATGCAAGACATGCAGTAAGAACTGGTCAAAAGTTATACAATTGCTGACTGTTGTACTATATCACTAGCTTTAAGAAAATAGCTTGGGGATCCACATACTGTAGTAAAATATTTTCTGGATTCATGTTATTGAATTCAAGTTGGAAGGGAGTAAAAACTTGGCTCTTCCCTCCACTTTTCTTGCTGTTATCTTCCCATCTTGATTATATTATTATTGTAGATTTTAATTGTTGTTTTAAAATCTGTTTTGTCTACAATATATTGTGAGACACCCTGAGTAGACTCCTGTCTAGAAGGGTGGGATAAAATCTAATAATAAAATAAATAATAAAGGGAGGGAGGGAGGAAGGAAGGAAGGAAGGAATTTGTTCATTTATTTTTAAGGGTTGCTTCTTATTTTGTTTATTTTCTATTTTGACTGATAATTTTTCCTGTCTAGAAGGGTGGGATAAAATCTAACAATAAAATAAATAATAAATAAAGGGAGGGAGGGAGGAAGGAATTTGTTCATTTATTTTAAAGGGTTGCTTCTTGTTTTGTTTATTTTCTATTTCAAGTGATATTTCCAAAGCTTCCTGCAGTATTTGTAAAGATATGATAATTCCATGCAATTTTTAAAATTTAAAAACTAAAACCAAGAAGAAATTAGCGTTTTTCCTTTTAAATAGTTATTTACTTAAATGTTTTTTTTTTAAAAAAACATGTTTAAGAAAAGAGCCCCAAGGGCAAGATATAGCATTGTTGAAAACATTTTCTGTTAAAAATGGTATTAAAAACTGGGGTCAATGGCCATGTTGGCTGGAAATTCTGAGAATTGTTGTCCTCAACTGTTCCTTTTCCAGGCTTTGTCCATTATGTCAACAATATTATTGGGATATTGTTTTGAGGGATTTGGGGCCAGTGTTGGTATTTTTAAAAAATAATTAATTTTTTAAAGGATGTAAAAGTAACATGTTAGGAATATATTCCTTAAAATTACTTAAGCTCCTGAAGCACCTCTACACTGCTGAAATTCTCTGCCCTCTGAAATTGTGATATTGTTCTCCCAAATGTACAGTATTTGTAATACTGAATCATTTGCTCCAAGGTAATTATGAAACATGCTGGAGATGCTTCTGGTTCTGAAATCATACTGCTGACTAGCGGAGAAGACAACACATTAAGCAAGTGTTTCTCTGATATGGCCAACGTCAGCCTAATAATCCATACCATTGCAGTGGGCCCATCTGCATCTAAAGAACTGGAACAACTGGGAAGATTGACAGGTGGACACCCTGTTTTATTAATCTATGGTGAAATTGTCCATGACATGGTCTAGTTAGTGGTTCTCAACTTTGGGTCCCCAGAAGTGGTTGGCCTGGACTGCCCAAAAGCTGGTTCATTGCTTGAAGCCTTCCTGAATAAAAATGTCTTTACTTGCCAGCAGAAGGACAATATGGAGGGGCCAGCCTGGCCTTCATTGGTGGGGAGTTCCAGAGCTCAATGGGAACAGCATTGCTGTTAGCTATACTGCATTGTATACCCACAGGGCTTTCTATGGACATAACTGGAGACTCCTACTCCTTCCTACAGAGATACTTCTGCCCTGCCTTAACCTATTGCTATCCAATCTTGGGATTGCAATTTACTCTGTTAGTGTGAAAGTCCTTCCTACAGAGATACTTCTGCCCTGCCCTAACCTATTGCTATCCAGCAGATCTCGGGATTGCAATTTATTCTCCTAGTGTGAAAGTCTAGATCAAAGTCTAGATTCTTTTCTTAATTATTCTGAGATCTATACAGTAGTCAAATGAAGCTGTCAGACTTTTTAAAAATTGCAACCTCTGTTCTCTTTCAGGAGGATTGAATTTTTTTTCCACTGATCGACCAGATTCCAATAGCCTTATAGAGGTCTTTGCTGCCCTCACAGTAGGTCATGGAAATGGAAGCCACCAGCCTGTCCAGGTCTGTTTCTATACACACCCTTGCTGTACCTACTGACATCGTGGGCAAAATCCTGTTGCATAACATTGCACCTGATACCACTCAGATCAGGCACTGGAAATGCTTAATTTGCCCTAGGGAAGCCTTTGGGAGCCTCAGGACAGGGAAGAGGAGGAGCAGGTCTGTTTCTATACACACCCTTGCTGTTCCTCCTGACATCATGGGCAAAATCCTGTTGCGTATTTTGGACCCAATGCCACTCAGATCAGGTGCTGGAAATGCTTAATTTGCACTAGTTAAAAATGTCCTATCTCCCCATTTCAGATTCCAAGGCTCCCTTAGGCTCCCTTTTGCCCTAGAGAAGTCTTTGGGAGCCTCAGGAAAGGAAGAGGAGGGCATTTAAAAGTAAAAATAATTGCTGCCAAATTGCCGCTGATGGAATTGGGAGCAATACTGTCACCAATCTGGCAGGTATTTTTTATTTGTTAGTGAGCTTAAATTCCTGAAGTTTTCAACATGAACAGTGTAGCTGCCTCCTGACCAAATCTTTCTCTCATTCAGCTCTCAGTTTTGTCGCCCTTAAGATGGACTTGAGAGGCAGAGAATTCCGCCTGGCTTTTAATATGTATTAATTTTGTCTATCCATGGTTTTCTTTGCCATCTTTGAAGTGCTCTTTTTAATTGTTCCCATGCCCTATTGCTACAAACTGCCTTAAAGACCCTACTTTAAAAGGTGATTCCACCTGGCAGGCACTTAGCATTAGGCATCAGAAAGCATAAGGTGGCTTTCCTGTCTTTTCCTCCCTAATGGATTTTCCATAGTACAAAATAGATGTAGAAAATGCTGGCGGAAACACAGGAGGGCTTTGAGTGGAAGATGATGGTGTCTGGACTTTCACCATCCCATGATCAAGGCAGAGCAATGTGATCAAAGCCTCATCTGGAAGCATCCAGAATCCACAGACAACGTGGAAATGTTTTAAAGTGTGGTAACTTTGGATTTGAACAGATCGAAAGTACTGCCGAAAGTGTACAGGGCAACAGACAGATTCACAGGACCACCACAATCGACGGCACTCTTGGAAAGGACACATTCTTTGTAGTCACATGGCAGATAAAGGAACCCACAATTATTCTCCATGACCCCAGAGGGAAAAGCTACACCATGGAAGATTTTAATGTGGACCCTGTTTTGCACATTGCTCACCTGCAGGTTCCAGGGATTGCTGAGGTAACAGGGAATTATTCCCCTTCAACTGCTTCTCTCTGAAGCCAGAAAGGGAGCAAGGGTGGGAGAGGCAGGGGCTAAATCCTGCTGGGCCCTGGCGCGCGCTGGGTAGCCTTGGGCCAGCCACAGTTTCTTAGTCTGACCTACTTTCCAGGGTTGTCATGAGGATGAAGTGGGGAGAGGAAGGCCACCTGCTCACTGCCGGAAAGTCAGCATATAAATGGATTAGATAAATAAATAAATAAAAGATAATGCGTATTGTTGTACTTCAATTTATTTATTTATTGTATTTACATTTGTTTTTCAGACTGGGGATTGGAAGTATACCCTCACTAACAGTCATATATTTTCTGATGTTCTCACAATGACTGTGACCTCTCGAGCAGTAAAATCTGGCGCTTCCACCATCTCTGTGATTGTTCACACCAACAAAGATAAAAATGCTTATCCTCGTCCAATGACTGTGTACACGAGGGTTCATCAAGACTTTTCTCCCATTCTTGGTGCCAATGTGACGGCCATTATTGAGCCAGAGGATGGGGACCCCATTTTCTTGGACCTCCTTGATAATGGTGCAGGTAACAAGATCTTGTAATGATGTTCATTGAACAGAGGTGGAAAATAAATTATGGTCCGTTGGCTTTTGGGGTTTGGTTTTTTTAACTTACCTTGAAACAAATTCCTATTGGATTCTCTAGCTCAGCAGTTCTCCAGATGTTTGGGCTTCAGTTCAGAGATCTTAACCACTAACTACTCTGGGAGTTGAAAAAGGGCAAAAGGTTAAAAAAATGATTAGAAATCTTCAAGTGAGTTTAGTGGAATTTACTTTCAGGTAAGCATTAATATAATCAGATCCCAAAAGTGGTAAAAAGATTTCAAAATTCATTCATTTTAAAGCATAATACAGATGCTAAGAGGTAAATTGTAAACACATTTCTTCGGAGGTAAATTCTGTGAGCATTAGTGGAGTTTATTTTCACATACTTATGTTCCAAGAACTATAACTGTGACTTTGGCTGGGAAAATTTAAGAGATCATCGCTAGCATTATTTTGTAACGCCAATGTGAAATTGTATCCAGAGGTGCAAATCATGAGGCTGTTTTCTGGCCACTATTTAAAAAAATTGCAAGGAGAATAGCATCTAATGAAGGTGTGAATCTCTTCTAAAACGAAGCTTACTCTCCAGAGCTTGCTTAAGCAAGAAACCTTCCCCAGTCCAAAGAACAATGTTTCACAGTTGGACTTAGAAGCTTTGCTCCCATTTTTTTGTAGTGTGAAGACAAGGAAGAAATATACATGTCGACTATGAGACTGTCTTATACTGAGTCTGTATTACAGGAAATTAACTTGATGATAATAAGGTGCCAAAGTCCAATAGAGCTCAGAATTTACTGTTTTACTGTACCAATGGGTTATTCAGTCCAAACACTTTTTGTCTCCCAACTTGATCAATGTTATATGTAAGGGGTAGCCGTGGATCTAAGAGGTCAAGGGTGTCTCACTTCAGAATGTGTGGGGGTGGGTTGAGGTGCTTCCTCAGACCCACAAATTGTTTATGGTGAGAGTCCTTTACACATGAGTTGAATTCTGACCTTAGCCCAGCTCAATTTAATTTAATAAATTGTGGGCTCCAGAGCTAGCCCTACCCTTAGGCAAAGCAAAGTAATCATATCAGACAATAGATGCTGGGAAGTGATAACAAGGTCTTAGAGTACTGAACTCTTTGCCACGCAGTTCACCCTTCACCCACTTAAGCCAGCATGTTTCCATCTGATATTGCAGAAGGTTATGTTCACTGTTAATGTAAAGAAGTTGGCTTGTGTACATGGAACTAAGGGTACAATTAACACTTCATGAAAAAAAGAACAAAAAATTCTAGATTATACAACAATCCTGATTCAAAGCTTACATTCTTCATTCTAGCACCACAGCTCTCTAATACAGTATTTGAAAATTCTTCTGTGTAGAGTAACTTTTATATTTATAATTTCTGGTTGTTGCAGGCGCTGATCTGATAAAAAATGATGGTGTGTATTCTAAGTATTTATTCCGTTTCACAAGAAGTGGAAGATACAGTTTCAAAGTGCATGTCCACAGAAACAACAAAACTATTGGTTCATTGCCTACAACATTATGGAGTCATGCCATGTATATTCCTGGCTACATAATGAACGGTAAGACATGATGTTGTCAGCTAAGTATTCCTTTTTTGTTTGCTTCCATGCCCCTTGTATCAGAGAAGTTCCCACTGGCTTTTATCTCCAATGGAAAGAAACTAGAGAGAAGAAAAGTGACTTTTTAAGATTTCAGTTTCCAGAATTCCTCAGATAGCCTGCCTCCTGGTCACTGGTTCTAGTGCAAAACAAAAGTAAAATTTCCCACCACCTGAGGAAGCACTACTTTGAATTCCCTTGTAGAAAGACTGCAAAAAATATCACCAAGTATGGAACCACAGAACTTATTTATGCTCACAGGCTTTGCTGATTCTTCCAAGTATACTCTAAAGGTGATAATCAGGTGAAAACATTGCAGCAGAAAGAGTGAAATGTACTTTTGTCAAAAGCTGAAGAGGTTAGAAAAACACATCCAAATTATAAGTTCTTAACATGGTTGCAGCCACAGAATGAATGATATTGACTATGAATGGATTTCCAAACTATCCAGCAGAAGTTTTCCTACCATTGTTGTTGAGATGAACTTTGTGATTTCTCCATGGAAGGCATGGGCTCTACCAATGAGAGATGGCCTTTCCACTGTCTCTCTTCTGTTGACTTTTTTGTTTTTTTTTTTGGTTTTGTTTCCAGTTACTCAAGATTCTGTTACTATTTAATTCTGTGGAGGGCATGCTTGTTCTGGTTCTGTGTCTTTAATGTATTTATATGTACCCTCTTGTGATGATATGTAGGCACAATCCAGATGAATCCACCAAGGCCGCTGATGAGTAGTGAAGACATGCAGATCAAATTAGGAGCATTCAGTAGAATAGCTTCAGGAGGCTCTTTCATAGTTTCTGATGTTCCACCTGGGCCAAGTACTGATGTATTTCCACCATGCAAAATCATTGATCTTCATGCTGGAACAGAAGGTGATATAGTAGTTTTGACCTGGACAGCACCTGGGGATGACTTTGACGAGGGACAAGGTAAGTGCAGTGCAGTTCCTAATTTCTTGTACTAGCGATTGCTGAACAGAAGGGGAAAATCTATGTTGATCTTTGGCCATAAATCCTTCAAGCAAAATACCTGGAGAAGTGTAAGTAAAACAAGCTTTGATGTTCATGAGTATTATTCTAAGCCAATTTATAGCTGCTGAAATAGTATCATCCAGAAAATGGAAGAAGATTCTCCCACCTGCAATTTCAGACCCTCCTCTCGGTCCCATTGCCAGCACAAGCACAGCTGATGGGGACACAGGAGAGGGCCTTCTCTGTGGCAGCTCCCAGGCTGTGGAACATTCTCCATCAGGAGATCAGGATGGCCTCTTCCCTTTCATCCTTCTGAAAAAAGCTAAAGACCCATCTCTTCAGGCAGGCTTTTAACAATTACAACTCAATCTCTGAACCCCATTTCAGTAGAAAATTCAATCTGTTTTTATGTTTTAATCTTTTAATTGTATTTTAAATCATATGTGGTTTAATTTATCTTTTAATATTTAACTTATTGTGTTTTTAATTTGTGTGAATTTTAATGTTGTGAGCTGCTTTGGGTCCCTTGTTGGGAGAAATGTGGCCTATCGATGTTTCGCTATAGCGAAGGTTAATCCGGAACGGATTAACCTCGCTATGCGAGGCACCACTGTAAATAATATCAGAAGTATTCTCGAAGGTTTTCATGGCTGGGATCCTACGGTTGTCATAGGTTTTTTGGGCTCTTTGGCCGTGGTAGGTTTTTTGGGCTGTTTGGATGTGTTCTCCTGAACACAGCCAAACAGCCTGAGTAACCTGCAACAACCAAATACCAGAAGAATTGCAGAAACCATTTGAACAGCCTGAAAAACCTACAACAATCAAATACTGTACCAGAAGAATTGCAGAAACCATTTATAGAAGAATTGAAAATCAATATATGAACTAGATAAAGGGAGTGACTGTGTTATTTGTTTGCATAATAATTAACAGCAAATTTGACTAGCCACCCAAAACAAGAGAAACATGGAACTATAATCAAGCAACCAAAGAAGACCTGTGTAGTTTAACTAAATATAAATTTCTCACAGTAACTTAATTTTCTTAAGGTACTTTATCAATCTAATGGCTTAAATGTTGATCAAGTTTTAATTACCACAACATTCACTGATAGAAACAGTAAGCCGAAAGGTCTTTCAAGGAAGTGTGCAGTTCATATGGTCCATTTCTTTTAGTTGAAAGCCTTCAATAAAGGCTTTAAGTCTCACAAATTCCTTTTACAGTAAAGTTTTCTTTGATGACGTGGGTGGCGATATGGGTTAAACTGCTGAGCCACTGGGCTGCTGATTGAAAGGTTGGCAGTTCAAATCCGTGCCATGGAGTGAACTCCTGTCGCTTTGTCCCAGCTCCTGCCAACCTAGCAGTTCGTGGGAAAGCTGCAGCGTTCCATGTCTAGTCATGCTAGCCACGTGACCACGGAAAGTGTCTACAGACAAACGCCAGCTCTTTGGCTTACAAATGGGGATGAGCACTGGCCCTTAGAGTTGGACATTACTGGACTTCATTTTCAAGGGAACTTTTACCTTTACCTTGATAATAGTTGTCCCAGCTGACCAGGATGTTGCATACATCCCTGGTTTCAATTCCTGTGGTCAAAGCTTAGGAACAAAGCCTTATCAGTAAAGGATCTAGAACATAAAAATGCAAATTCATTTCCAATCAACCGTAAACAATACCACTTCATTAATACTTTATTGTCACATACTATTACCTTATTGTCACTTACTATTCCAGTTGAAACGGACTTCCCAGGAGAGGAAGCTCTCACCCATCAGCAGTTCACACCCAGTCTTCAGTCCGTACAAAGAAACTGATGACTGTATGTGACAAAGATGCAGGTTGAGCAAAGGGGGAAATTCACATCTCAGCATAAGCAAGAATATCCTCAGTTCCAGCTGAGGTCTCTGACCTTCAGACTGCCGTTTCTCAGGGTAATATTGACTGCTTCATATTACAGCTGGGATGAGAAGACTGTGCCCTACAGATGCAATTGGGCTTTAGCCACATTCATCTTCCCTGACTATCGGCAGAGAGGGCTAAGGCTGACAGGAATTGGGCTCCAAAATCATCCAGAGAGACACAGGTTTCCCACTCCTAGATTGTCCAGGCAACTTGAATTGCATCATCAATCAGCAGGGAGGAAGGTGGGGAAAATAAGAGGTGCCGTCTGTCAGAATTGTCATGGAATATCCACCTGGCACAACTCCGTAAGCTCTGGAGTATCCAGTCCACAAGAAGGAGAATCACTGCATTGGATCGAAACTATTGACCTCTTTGGTCTTCCAAAGAATGGGCAAGAGCACAGTGGGTAGGCTCTCTGCCAGTAATAGAATTTGATTTCTAATTAGTCAGCTAAATAAAAATAAACAGAGTCAGGTAGGTGCGATGTTGTGACCTGAGACGTACAGAGACAATTCTTAAATTAAATTTATGGCATTACCTTGTGCTTTTGGAACAGGCCCAGTTTCATCTTGATTCCCAAAGGTTTGCAGGATAACACACCAAATAGTAAATATAAGTTCCCACATGCATTTAATGAATTGAGGATCTTACAGTTGTTTCAGTGCTGGGATAAATAGGGTATAGATAAGAAATATACGCAGAACTACTTGAACATTTGATTAATTTTGACTGAAGTTTATTTGCAGCATTTTTAAAATTGTATTTTCAGTTTAACAGCATTTCTCCCCATGAAGTGCATTTCTTTTTCTTATCCTTTCCTTTCTCTTTTTTTAATTTTTATTTTCCCTTTTTATTATTTATGCACAGCAAACAATTGGGAGTTGGACACACCAGAAAGTACATACTGAAAAGGAAGTGGAAAAAAAACCTACTTGTGCTGACATGTCTATGTTTGTGTTTTGTTTTCAGCTGCAAAATATGAAATAAAGACAAGCGAAAGTCCTCTGGAACTAAGGGACAATTTTCAAAAGGCTCCATCTGTAAATACTTCTAAGCTGACACCTCAGCAGGCTGGCTTCAGGGAAGTTTTTACATTTAAGCCAGAAGCACTGACAAATGTCACACTTCTATACGTAGCCATTCGCACAGCTGATAAAGCCTTCCTATATTCAGACATATCTAACATAGCACAGGCAGTTATTCTTCCTCAGAAGAACAGCGTCATTGCTCCTACCAAGTATAATAGCTTAACAATCATTCTGACAACATGTGGACTGTTGTCTGTGGCTGCTTGTTGTTTAATTCTGAGCAGAAATCTATGGACTTTAAAAAAGAAGAAGTTGGTTACTGATGAAGCTGTACCATGATGGCTGATGTACCATTTACCTTTTAGGCCTTTTAATGTTTTTAGAAAGATAATATAGAAGTTTCCATTTTGTAATTGTGGGGGCGGAGTGGAGTATATGTAAATGATGGCCTTTCACACAGGAGGTGAAAGATGGTTTATTGTGTCGTGTGGCACATTTATTATCTAATGAGAGCAATGAAAAATGGGTGTGTGTGTGGGTGGGTGTGTGTGGGTAAAATAACTCTAACCTGTAAGGCAAAAACATTTCTAGCGTGCTCATGATGGAAGTGTAAAAAAAAAATTTTTCTAATGAAGAAAGCAAGATACCTATAACAAATAGAGAACCAGCTCTGAAATAACTCCTAGAATACTTAGACTTGAGGGATCAAACAAATGTACATAAAGTGTGTTTGTGTGTAAGGCTGTTACCCCAAGATTTGAGAGTTATATTAAATAGTTGCATGAAACAGAGAGAACCTCCCAAGATCTGGCAGTTATATGACACTGTCAGAAAGGTACTTCTAGTAGTGTATGTGTGTGTATTTGTGTAAGATGTTTAGCTGAATAGTGACCTTTGATACAACTACTGCTTGTGGTCTCATATAAACTGAATCTGGCTGGCTGGGGCAAAAGAGGGTAAGAATGAAGAGAGACCCCCATTTGACCATCATGATTTCCTCTGGCCCAAACTATAGGATCCCCCATAATAGAGCTCCTCTTGAAAGTACATTTCACAGCGGATCTGCAATACCACAAAAGTTAATGATATTCTAATGCTGCTCTGTTTCTGGAAGCCAAAAAGTGGTATGCAACCGAGATAGTATAAGAGAGAAAATAGTTAAGAACAGGATGATAGAAAAGGTGGTAGGTTGTTCGGCTGGCAGCCTCTTCTTCTGCAGGCAGATCACAGACTGTTTCTCCTCTAGGAAAGCTGAGTCATGTCAGCAACACTTATCGAAACAGTATAATCATGAAACAGGTACATTGACTGTTTGGTTAGCGCAACATCACGCATTTCCCATAAAAGAAACCAATTAAAACTCTCTGCATGATTTAAAGGGTGGTAAAATACTGTTAGCACAGTAAAAATGTTTGATTTGGTGGAGTAACAATTTGAGCTGAAGAGGAGTTATGAGAAATTATTGATTCATTGAGAAGGCAAGTTTTTACAGCTCACCAGTGTGAAACCTTTGCAAGCATTCCTTCCTTCTTCACACATGTCATATAATTACTTCCCCCAACCTTATTCCATCTGCTCAAATAACACACGGTGCTTACCCAGAACGCAGAAGACTCACTGTTTTGGACCAGAGTTCCCACAATCCCAGCCTGGCCACTGGTGCTGTTGGTTGAGGGAATCTTGGGAGTTGTAATTCAAAAAGTAGCTTCTCTAGGCTCTTCCTAACTTTGTCCCCTTTCCCTGAAACTGGGAATTGACTCAATTTGCCTCTTCCAGCTAAGAGGCTAGTGGCTGTGAGAGAGGCAGCCAGCATGAGGGCAGGTGGGCACAGGATAAATCCTCAAATGCAACTATTCTAAAAGTCCCCTCAACCAAAATACAGCACAGTTTAAAAACAGATTAAAAATTTCCCCAAGAGGATGCACACACCACTCCCAAAAGCATGTGACTACCACATGACTTCAAACTGAACTTTAAAAACCCCCTTACCTGAATTATTTCAACAGTGTAACTGCGTCAAGGTTTTTCAAAAGGAACTGTATGCCAAAAAGCAGCATGGGATAAAGTCTTCTATGCATCATTCATTTGTCTACATGATCATGGTAGCCCTCCTTGTAAATATTTCTAAGGTATATTATGTTTGTACACCTCAATTTTTGTTCTTTATAAAACAACAAGAACAGCAGAAGTAATGGAGGGTTTGAGAGATTCTCCCAGTATCATATTCCTGATTTTTAAAAAAATCTACCATTGTCTGGGAGAGAAACTGTTACTGGTGCTAGATGCAACCACTCACAAAGGCAGTGGGGGGTGGGCAGAATTCTTCCCCACTGGAATATGAGGACGAGTTTGCGACCAAACTAGAAATGGCAGCAGACATCTGGGTTTAAATCCAGGTCTGTCTCAGCCATGCATAAATCAGGATCCACTCTTCAAGCTTGTGTGGGTTGTGATAACAAAACCCTTCCTTATTGATGGCTCATACACATTCTTCTGAGGTACTAGAAAGTTTAATTAATAGTTGAGACCAGGGTGACTTACAATATGATTGCATTCTTTTATGGTTTAATTGTGGGTGATGCAGTTGGCGAAGCATCAAATTAGTGAATAATGTAAACAGATCGTGAAAATGAGTGTGTGCTTGAGAGGAAAAACATGTTTATTCTAACACAAGATTGCCTCAATCCACATTTGGCAAACCTACCTGCTTTTGTTTTGTAGTTGGTCATCTTGGAAACAGCATGGCTCATCTGGCTGATGTCTCAGGCATTAGCATTGGACAATTGTAATTTCAGGAGAAACAACATTGTAAGTATAAGGGAGGGATACCCATTTGCTTTAACTTGTGTTCTGGCCCATAGCATGTATTACCGAGACATAGGTGGGTGCTCTTAGTAGCATTGATTTCAACCAAAACTGCCCATGCATTTATTTACTGGAACACCAAAAGAGGTTTGAAGGTTATGGGGCAGAACTCTTTGTAGAACTCTTACATGAACCCTGAATTTGTGTCCAAAGCTGTGGCACACATGTGAGAACTCTTGCACATAAGGACCAATCACATGAAGAAATCTCACATGCAGTCCCTTCTTGTTCTGCTAAGAAGAGAGCTTTTCCATGACAAAGAAAACTCTGCTGATTGGCGGAGTTTACCTCACAGACGAATTAACACTGGGAAATACATATGCCACGAAGTCAAGAGAATGCAAGAGGAGGAGCAAAGTTCAAAACCTTTTTTGTTCTTTAGGTGCATGGAAGTGGAATGACAGGTCTAGGAAAAGTATATCTTTCTAACCATCATGGAGGCCATGTCATGTAGTATATCATTATCAATTATTTGCTTTGTAAATGTGTTCTCCATTGAGGACGTGATGACACAGCTCAGCCTATCCTCTCCACTCAGTGGCCACAGGTAGTTCTTAATACAGTGGTGCCTCGCAAGATAAATGTAATTCGTTCCGCAGGTAGCGCTGTCTTGCGAAATTTTCATCTTGCGAAAAGCGGTTCGTCTTGCGAGGCATCGGCAATAATTCGACTTGCGAGGCATCGGTCTTGTGAAAAACATTCATCTTGCAAAGCATGGCCATAGAAGAAGCTGTCTTGTGAGGCACCACAGCGATCAGAAAAACCATTTGTCTTGAGGGTTTTTCATCCCGCGAGGTGTTTGTCTTGCGAGGCACCACTGTAATTTTAAGCTGAATACAGGGAAGGCTGACAAGACAAAGACATCAGCAAGCAAGTGCAGACCTGATGGAACACAGATTATATGCTTCAGGAAAAATCAGAAGGTTGTGTGGTCCCCAAAATAATACAAATGAAGGAACATGTGATACTGTACTTTCATTGGACCAGTAAAGAAATGAAACAAAAATTGTTGGGTTGACCATGGTTATGGGTTCTCTTCTTTTCCCTAGACAAACAGAAATTCTTTGAGTTTCAAAAGAAAGCAGAAGGGGAAATGAGGGGAGATCAGATTGATGGGCTGCTCTTTATTTAAAGAGTTGAGTGATTAAGTTCCAAAACACTGGCAGGGGAGGGGTTTGAAGCCACACTCCCATGGCCATAAGACTTTGGGACTTTAATAAAAGCATATAATTTTGGAACCACCCACAAAAAATTGGTGCACAGCCTGAAGAAGATGAACCATCATCGAAAGCTCACTGTTCAGTTTTCATTTTTGTTTTATTTCTTTAATAATCTGTTGCCATAAAACTGGTTGGGAAGGTCCAGTTCAGCTTTCCAGCTCATCCAGAGAAACGTCATTTACTGTCTTCCCTGATCTGTAAAGCAGGCAAAGCTCATTTCGTAACTTATTCTTGTCTTGTGGATGGTGACAGTGACGGTGCAGTCACTGGTGGATGGTGTCTCCCTCAGTTCTACATGACTCTACACTATTTTCTACAACCAAACATTCTGGATTGATTCCAACTACTATTCTTAAATAAAAAATTCCCAAGAAACCAATGTATTTCAATGGGCATCCTCTGGCATCCACTGTCTCTTGCTGGCACCGTCCTCAGATCACCTCAGGAAAATATTTCTTGTCACAAAAGGACAGCAAATTGCTATGTATATACTGTATAATGTACATGTGTTTATATTGGCCTGGGTTGCCAGATGGGTGGTACACAAATCAAATCAAATCAATCAAATCAAATCAATCAATCAATCAATCAATCAATCAATCAATCAATCAATCAATCAATCAATCATGTTGCTTTTGCTGCTGATTCTATCTTCTTACTGGCAGGGATAGGGAAAAGTGCTTATGGGATTTTTTTTTTAAAAAAAAATCTTTGTCTCAAACATCATAACATGGTAGGCTGTGCGTATTATGCACAATGGCTTGGGTGGATAGAGGCCTCCGTTTCACCACTCTTTCTTGGGTAGCAAAATGTCTTGGCTCAGACCTGACTGTCTTTCAGTGTCACTAACTTGCAGAGTTATGCCGCAGTTTGACTTAGGAGAGTATCCTCGCTCAGTGGAAGGGCACTTCAGGGCTTTACTGTTCTTTGAACAATTCTATTTGCTCTGTACTTGCAAGTTATAAAACTGAACAAACAATGGTAACCATATGTTTGCTTCCCGGAACTACAGCTTTTAAAACTAACTTAACAATTGCAAATAAGAGTTGTATTTTCTTTCTTTTTTTTACTATACAATGAAAGAGGGTAGAATCACCAAATGTGTCCTTTGTTTGGGAATTTCCAGCATGCAGAGATCTAGAAATTATCCATGCCTTGATAGTTTTTATTGATAATGTTGGGGAGATGTAGTGGTGGTGATGGTGGTATGGGGAGATGGTCTGGCTGGAGAAAAGGTGCAGTGCCTTTGTTTTTTAATTTAATTCTCTTTTGTTTATTAATAGGGCTTCTGTTAAACACCTCCTACTTCCAAAGTGCCACAGGGAAGCTCAGCAGGTCTACAAATTAGTAAAATTACTAAGGTGTGATCCTCAGGTCACCAATATTAGAGTATCACATTTTCTTCTTCTCTCTCCATGTATTAAACACATCACTGCATATAATGCAGCTGATAAAGAATGTCAGTCTTATTCCTTGGATGGGTATTTATTTCTTCAGTTGGGAGGCACTTAGTTCTAAAGGAAATTAGAAATTCAAAACTGCTGCTATGTCTCACATTGGTTTTCAGTCTTAAATGTTTGTGATGTATTCATGATAAGAACAGGGCAAGGAATTTCTGGATTGACCCATTTATTTTTTAAAGACTTCCGTAGGTTGTTAACAAGTATACTCATGTCATAAAACATAACACATGTCTAAGAACATGCATCTCTCTCTCTCTCTCTCTCTCTCTCTGTTTATACACATGTACTTACTTACACACACACATATGTATCAATAAGGTCTCTGTGACACTCTTTCTGCCAGGAGCCAGGCTGACAGAAGCAAAGATGGTGCTGAACCAATGGCATCTTTTAAATGTGTTAGTGCTACTACATTTGGTGGCAGGAACAAGGGTAAAGCTCAACAATGGTGGCTTCGAAGATGTTGTTATTGCAATTAACCCTGGATTACCTGAAGATGACAAAATAATTGACAACATTAAGGTAAGTTTTTAAAAAATGTATAAATTATTTTCACAATCTAACTGTCACTAACTGCAAAATTATGATGTCCTAAGGGTGGAGGAATCCAGGCACTGTATAATTACAGGTTTATTTCGAGGGCTGCTACTGGAAATCCCATCCTCCTCTCAAAGGCTTATTCAACTGCAAAACCAGGATATGCAACAAAATGTAGCAATGAAGAGTGGTCCTATTTACTCTTCCAGTCCTTCAATTTTTGTCTCCAAATGGTCAATAGGATGGCCATCTGTCCTCCTTTTGAAGACCAATTTTGACTATGTATGTCCTCCTTCTCATCGATGTGCAAGTGGCCACCCTCTTCCCATCCCAAGTCTCCTGACTCTGCACTCGACACTCTAAACAGTACAGTATACAGTACTGGCTATCAGGCAATATCTTTCTTAAACCGCCCCCCCATCTCAAAAATAGGCTACTGTTTGAGGTCTGCAGAACCCTTCATCAGAGTGGGGTTTGCAAAGCAGGGGGTTTAATGGGAGAAAAAAATCCCAGAAATCATACTGGTAAGAAATTGTGTCCAGATTTATGAAATTAGATCTTTGTGTGTAGTAGAGGCTTTTGACCGGTAAATGTATCTTAATCAGCCCTCTCTAGTTTTTTTTTAAAGTAAAACAGTTCCAGGGAAGTCATTTTGTAAATCACCCTCTTACAAAACTAGAGATGAATGGCAGGAAGGATGTGGCATGGCAATTCTGTATGATCTTTAGATAAGGGGGTCAGTCCCAGGAGTGAACATTCGGAAAGCACAGTTTGGACCATTATTCTGGAGTAAATTATTATTACCTAGTTAGATATTTTAATAAAATTACAATGATCTCTGTTTATTCTCTTCCCATATACATTTATTTTAATAAGAAAACACAAGACACATGGTTATTAAACACATTTAACAGAGTTATTACACACATTCCTTCTTTCCTTTATTTATTTCACATCTTTATCTCAGCATTTTGTCCCAAGTCACAATCTTGAGCAATATGGTGAGCAGTACTGTAGTTCCATTAGAATTACAGTAATAATGCCTAAATATGTACTGTCCTTGGCAGATATTAGTTTAAATTTAGCGCAAACTGACCTTTTTTGTGAAGAATCTTTTCCTTTTTCATGTTCCTTATCCCTCATGTTCTCTATTTTGGTGATGTCTGTCCTGTTTTTGGTGATAAAGCAGTGGCCATCATAATGGTCAATCAATGTTTCTGTTTTGGGGCCCCTTCCCTCACCTTAAGTGTTTCTTCTGAATATTTCTATATTTTCACAATCCTTGGAGCTTCATGTTACTCTAAACTTGGTGACACCTGGCTCTTGTGCATGGATGGGACTGTCTTGCATACACAAGCAACCATTTTAATAACTGGAACATTGCAAAGGACATTTTAATTATGAGGAAGCAGCCACAGAGCTCCTGAAACCCAACATACGTTCTTGAGTGTGATTATCTTAGCTTTCTGCCAAAACACTGGCCTATATTCTAAGGTAAATTTTAAACAAGTTTTGACTATCAGAACTGTCCTTAAGATATTGTATTAATCAGAGTGAATGTGCTGGGCTATGTGTGCACCAAAAATAAGTAGAGTGGATAATAAAGAGGCACATTAACAATTTGGGCTTAGAAAAAAAAGGAATGATACATAAAGAACTCCTTTCAAGTTATCATGACATTTTAGATGACATGCACATTTTATTTACTTTCTTACTCTGAAGAATTTATGTGCTGCTCTTCAGAAAAAAAAATTGTGACGATTCCTTGAAAATAAAAATAGAATAAATATATACAGGTTTGGATTTAGTCTAAGGTAGTTGCAGAGGTGTCTCATTGAAATCAAGGAGACTTCATTAACTCATTATTAAGTCACCCACTGATTTCAGCAGGACCAGAATTCAACTAAATCTTAATCTGACCAATTTGTAAAACAGTAATAAAACCCAAAACGGTGGCTATGACTATCGGCATAAACCAGCAAAGAAAAAAATTTTTAAGAGTGTTACTTACTGTTGAACAGATGCAACAATAGTTGCAGGGTAGCATTTCCAAATCTGTCCGTTACTAAGGGGACCCTTCTCTCTCACTTCATTTTAGATACTGATAGCAACCAGGGAGGGCCTCTAAAACTGATCCCAGCATACTAAATTTCAACTCGCCTTTAGCATTGGAGTAATTCATCTGTTTGATATGATCCTCTTCTCCCCTCTTTCAAGGAGAGAAGTATATATTTCCCACCTCAGATCTATTCTATTAATCCAGGCACTGAATGTATGTGTGGCAACCAACATTAAGCAACATGGGTGTACCTTTTTCAGGAAACAGGGCTTCAAAGTATATACTGAGTAGTGTGATTGCCCTCGCTTTGAAAACAACACCGGCCCCATTCTTGTGCCCTTAACAGAAGATGGTGTCACAGGAATTTCTCAGGTTTTCTCACATTTCTTCAATACAGAAGAGAACAGCTTAGCTCAGGGTGTGGTATTTTTCAAGGCCAAAACCCAAGATTAAGGTGGAAAGGCCTTTGCAATGTCACCCTGGAGTGACAGACAAGGGCTGGAACTGATTCTGAAAATAGCTGGACAGCAAATGTCCATAACTTGCTCCAAGCTGAGGGATGGACCGAATTGTGTGCACTCTCAGTTCCATCTCTTAACTGTCAGTGAGCTGTTGTATGAGCTCAAAAAGAGACATTTCAATTCCTTCGTGCTGAGCCAGTGAGCGCTGGTGACAGCTGGAAATGGGTGGAGATACCTATCCAAGCTTTACGGCCGTTTCATAGATAAAAGTTCAACTTCTTTTTCCTCCAGCACTGACATTTGTTCAACTTCTTCCTCCAGCACTGACATTTGTCTTCCTGCCTGGAGATCAGGAAAAGCATAGCAATCCCAGAGACTTTAGCCAGCACCCTGTGAAATGGTCAGCCCTAAAACGGCTTCATGCATAAACTCCATTTGTACATGCCAAGCTATTGTTTAAGTCATGTTAAAAGTGACAGATTCAAATATGTGACATGAATTTAGTCTACCAGCTTTCTCAGATTTCCTGGGGCAATGTTCACATAATGGTTTAATTTTGCTTTGCTGCCAAATTCCACAAATTTGTTCTCTCTAATTTTCATACAACATCATCAATAGTCCAACAGCAGCCTGTTTCCAACCAGGGAAGGATCAACTGGGAAGGAGGTGGGACCATCTTGTATGTAACTATGTACATGAAACTGAAGAGATATAAAAGTGAAGTGAAAGTACTGTATAGATACAATTCAGTTGTGAATGCAGGAATTTCCATGTGGTTCAGATCCACATTACTGTATTCATATTATGATTTTAAAGAATTACTGGCAGTTTCTAAGTTTCAGGAACATGCACCCTTCCTGCTCCATCTTCAACCTTCATGACAACATGTAAGACCACTAGCTAAATCATGGCCTTAAGGAATGTAAGGGGGGGGGGAATCAATGCAAATTCTCTAAACACAAAATGCAACTACCGGCCAATGTAAAAACAGCTCCAAAACACATAACATATTTTCTTTCTTTCTTTCTTTGCTTGTCAGGAAATGGTTACAGAGGCTTCATCTTACCTCTTCAATGCTAGCCAGCAAAGGTTTTATTTCAAGACAGTAAAAGTTGTAATCCCATTGACATGGACACCCAAAACTGAGTATAAAAGAGTTACCACTGAATCTTATGAAAATGTAAGTATGGGGCCCACTTTCAAATGCTAAATGTATATGTACTATTTGTTAATTTTTTTTGTTAGAAATATGGGTTTTAGAAATATGAATTAGTGACCTGCAATAGGTCTCATGAATTACAGAAATATCTACTGACAAGATGAATAGTATCCCAACTATTTGTGGCCAAATTTTGTGATACTAAATCAGGAACTTCCTTCAGGGTTGAAAAATGTCTAATTATCATAGCAGAAGCTTTCTTGCCTCCTTTTCTAGAAAATTAACATGCTTTATCTTGTCATTGGACATGGGGAGATAAACACGGGCTTTGTTTCCAAGTCTGCTTACCCGGGGATGATGGATCTGTGGAACTGCTATCACCTTGTAATGTCATGCCATCTATATTGTCGGATATAACCACAGGCAAGAAGTCATGTCAAAATAGTCATTCAAAACCTAGGTCCCAAACCGGTGCATTTTTGTGTGTAACCAGAAGCTAGGAGATACTTACCTTCTTGAGAACCGCCTTCCAATACGGATTAAGTTCTCAAGTCAAGACCCCACTGTATGTACTATTTGTTAATTTTTTGTTAGAAATATGGGTTTTAGAAATATGAATTAGTGACCTGCAATAGGTCCTATCATTAATAACACTATTCAGCTCTTGGAAATCCAAGAGTGGAGCAGTGTTTTTTCTTTATTGAGCCAATTCATTTCTTATTTGATCTTCCTTTTTTCCCCTGGCCTTCAAGGCTTCCCAGCTCTCTCTCTATATATACTGTATATATATTTACTGACAGGAGTAACACACAAGACTTATTTGAATATAAGTACAACTGAATATACTGGAGCTTATATCTCTGTTAATGCTTTGTACTTACCAGGTAGCGTGTCTCATGAATTACAGAAATATCTACTGACAAGATGAATAGTATTCCAACTATTTGTGGCCAAATTTCGTGATACTAAATCAGGAACTTCCTTCAGGGTTGAAAGATGTCTAATTATCATAGCAGAAGCTTTCTTGCCTCCTTTTCTAGCAAATTAACATGCTTTATCTTGTCATTGGACATGGGGAGATAAACATGGGCTTTGTTTCCAAGTCTGCTTACCCGGGGATGATGGATCTATGGAACTGCTATCACCTTGTAATGTCATGCCATCTATATTGTCGGATATAACCACAGGCAAGAAGTCATGTCAAAATAGTCATTCAAAACCTAGGTCCCAAACCGGTGCATTTTTGTGTGTAACCAGAAGCTAGGAGATACTTACCTTAGCAAAAATTGGCATGCAGTGTTCCTATCAAAGGTGATTGTCATTTCTTTTTTGGTGATTTTTAAACAAGTACCTTGTAATGTCATGCCATCTATATTGTCAGATATAACCACAGGCAAGAAGTCCTGTCAAAATGGTCATTCAAAACCTAGGCCCCAAACCTGTGCATTTTTGTGTGTAACCAAAAGCTAGGAGATACTTACTTTAGCAAAAATTGGCTAGCAACGTTCCTATCAAAGGTGATTGTCATTTCTCTTCTTGGTGATTTTTAAACAAGCTCCTATTTTATTCCAGGCTGATGTCATCGTGGCTGATCCTTACTTGAAATACGGAGACGATCCTTACACCTTGCAGTATGGAGGGTGTGGGGAACAGGGGCGATACATCCATTTCACATCTAACTTCCTGACTAATGACAGCTTGCATGATGTTTATGGATCACGAGGTAGTACCTGTTAGATTATTCAGTACCGTTTCACGCCATAAAGGCAAACTCATTGAAGCTAGCCGGACTGGCTCTTGTTTGGCTTCAACAAGGTTATGACATCATGGATGTTCAGGCTAGGCATTCTTGGGCTGGACCCTAGAATGAGGCAGATTAAGGGGGGCTGTCTCAGGGGCCCAGTGCTGTAGGTGGAGAGTGGTGGCAAGATCTTGCAACACAAGCTGTGTCTAAAAATAAGCTCTTCTTTGCTCACTAGTCTAATCTGTTTACTTTATGAACATCATGGGAGAGACCAGAGGTCCATCTGGTCCCTTTCCTCAGGCAACACAAGGCCTTTGGCTGACTTTAACCAGAATTAAAGGGCAGTGCTTTCACAGAGCTCAAAGCAATTTGTATACCGCCCCTTAATCTCTCAAACAATAAAATAGTTTCCAGAGTTTCCTCAGCAGCACCATCAACTAACCTCCATAAAATGTGGCCATCCCTGTTACAGCTGCCCAGTTTCTGATGTGAGTGGTCAGCTTTTCCAATGATGTTTAGTATGATTTTTTTGGGAGGAAACCATCACCATCTAGCTAACCTGACGCTGTAAACACCAATCAGAGTGGTGAAATCAGGGTGTCTTCCCTCCTTCCAACAGGCAGAGTCTTTGTTCATGAATGGGCTCATCTCAGATGGGGTGTCTTTGATGAATACAACAACGATGCACCTTTCTACACTACTGGAACAAACAAGGCTGAAGCAACCAGGTACTATCCTAGACATATATCTTCAATATTGGGAGAAGTCACTGCTGTAGCAAAGATTTTTGCTGGCACCTCCTGTGTATGCGTGTAGAATGAAGGATAAACTAGCTTTCACATAATTTTTGAGTAATAGTAGTACAGATATTTCAGTGCCTGTTTCCAAAAACAAAGGAAGCTTGATCTACAACTTTCACATTCTTTCTTCACACCTGCATCACTGCCTGTTTACTTCTGTGATCTAGTATTCTTGGAAAGCTAGAAATAAAGGAATTGGCTAGCTAAATATTGTGCAACTTGTCAGTAAGCATTGCATCCTGTTTCAGATAGTGGTGGAATGATATGTTGGAGCTTTAGCAACCTTGTATGCTGCCTTTAGGAAGTGTGACTGAGAGGGAGTTTTCTGGGCTGCCATGGCTGTCAATCAATCCAGGAGTAACAAATTGTTCCTTCCCTGCCTCTGATTTCAAAGAGAGCCACGCCTCTCTGCTTGCTCTCTCCCCCTTTTAGTCTGCTTATTATTCTGTTCTTGCTGGTCTTTGACTGTAATAAAGTTAATGAATGAAAATTAGTCTGCTGTGCTGGTAGTATAGTTAGAATGTAGTCTGCAGGAGTCTATTAGAAGCAGGCTGGTAGTCTGTTGAGGCCTGTTGCTGTAAGCAGTCATTGTTTTTACAGTACTGTATGCTGTTTTTTGATCTGTTGTCTGCAGGAGTCTATTAGAAGCAGGCTGGTTTTTACAGTGTGCCATTTTTTGATCTGTTGAACTGTGAATGAAACCTTTTATTCTTTCTCTTACCAATGTCTCAGAGTGGGTTACTGAAATGTAAGTGCCAGTTGATGAGACAATAGGGGATCATCTACTCTGGGGAGACTTGAAGCTAATTCTGCTCTGTAAATCCCTACAATTCTGTGCAGCCAGAGGTTTTTAAGCAGAAATCCAAATCTTTTCAACATGATATACCCCACATCTTACCATCCCTGTAATATATTGTGATGATCAGTCATCTGTTTATAAAGTGTCTTCACTTTTTAAAATTATCTAGAATAGTAGTGCACTGTTTATGCCAAACTATTACAGTTTCTCCACTGTTTAACTGGCTAAATATACTTGTTGCTCATATTCTCTAGATGTTCAGCAGCTATCACTGGTCAATATAGAATCCAAACTACCCCTGGAAGTACTAGAAAATGCAAAATTGACCATCGAAGTCAGCTTTATGAGGCTGGATGCCAATTTATTCCAGATAAAGTACAAACTACTCCAGTGTCTATAATGTATGCACAGAGTATCTCTTCAGTAAGTGCAATTAATGACACTTTGAAGACTGCAGAACTTATTTTTGTATCATATCTATCTCCACAAAGACAACTTTTCCAATTTTTTGGTCAGAGATTCAGGAAACTGTAATTTGAATTTCTATAGCCAATGCAAAATCACTCCAATCATTTCCTGATAATTTCTGCTATGTAGATATGAGCGCATAATATAGCAAGTAGTTCTCTGATGACCAGGACAGATTATTTACAGACACTCATCATTTTATTTTGTAAATTTGAGGGCAAGAGTTATGTCTAAAATTAATGATGCACAGAACCGCTAGAACCCTCCATTAAAAAAAATGTATGTAAAGAATTTCCATATTTGCATTATCTTTTTACAAAGTAGGAGAGTCTGAATGTGTTAATCAGTTGTAATCCTAATCTACTTTTCACCACTTTTCTTTAGGTTACCCAGTTCTGTGACGAAAGCAACCATAACATTAATGCAGCAAATATGCAAAACAAACTCTGCAACTACAGAAGCACATGGGAAGTTATTATGAACTCCACTGACTTTGCTAGTTCATCTCCCATAAATACTCCTTTCCTTGACCCCACCATCGTCTTGATGCAAACACGGGATAGAGCTTTGTGTCTAGTACTTGATGTCTCTGGGAGCATGCAAGATGTAAGTCTATTGGCTTACCTCCCCCCACCTTCCCAGAAGAAATATTTTCATCAGATGTGATAGTTTTTAACCAATGCAATTATGGTGGACGGCAAGACAAATGCCAACACACAGGGAGTGTTTCTTTAATGAGCTATAAATCATGTTAGAAATTGTGAGGATACCTTTACTGTTTTCCAATTAGGTATGTTCATTTGGACAACAACCAAATTACACCAAAAGATGAGTACAGGAGAAAAGCTATTGGTGAACCCACTTCTAGTATTTACCACTGTGATTTCTTCAACACTGAATGGTTAATGTGAATAACATGGACACATTGGATTAAGGGGATCAGAATATTTGCAATTCTGCTTTTTGAGTGAAAACATGTGCCCTCCCCCCATCTATTTATGTAGCTCTAAAAAATCTCCTACCAATGCCAAATGGACTTTAAAACAAGATACTGTACTTGTTTTGAGTAGGTTTATACTTCCAGATGCCTCCTTGAAGAATAAAGCTGATGGCATATACCAAGATCCAGGTCTATAGAGCCTGTCCTGAGTACACTCCTATACTATAGTGAGTCCTGGACCCTTTGTGCATGGCAGGAGAGGAAGTTGAACACCTTCCATATGACCAAACAATCCTCCTGTCCCAATGGTCCTTGCCAATGTGGTGAACCTTTGTACCTTTACAGATATGAGGGGGAAACCAGTGGACCACCAAAATAATGATTATGCTAAGCCATTGGTATGTTACTTTTGAGCCCTGCTATGCCATGATATATTTTTAATGGGCTCAAAGCATTATTTAAATTATTAATCTTGATAGTGTAAATTCAGTGATAACTGAGGCAGGGAATTATATCACTGTGCTGAGGCATAGGGAGATGCCATGGCTTATTTGCTTTATTATTTGAGTAAAATGATCTCAAACTGTCTTTATTTCTTGGCCAAAAAATTCTATTAAAGAGACAAAACCAAATAGCTACACAGTACTTCTTAACTATGTACAAAGAGCCCTCAGTTCAAAAGTGTGCTAAAAATTGCATGGTTGTGCCTGGATTTTTTAAATAGAACTTTATAGAGTTAACGTTGGTGTCCTTGATGTAACAAAAATCTATTCAGCATTTTATCCTCTATTCTGGAAAGCACTCACAATTTTCTGTTCTCCCCACACTTTCCCCAATACAGAATGATCGACTTCTCCGTCTGAGGCAAGCTGCAGAAATATTCCTCTTGCAGATTATTGAAACAGGGTCCTGGGTTGGAATTGTGACATTTAATAGCGCAGCAACAATTCAGACTGGTTTGCAACATATTGTCAGTGATGCAGTACGCCAAACTCTTACAACTTATTTGCCTACTTCAGCAGGCGGAGGAACTCGCATATGTGCTGGTGTGGAAAAAGGATTTCAGGTAAGGGAGAAGAAATTCCAGAAACTTTAATTCCTATTTGTCTGTTTAGTGTATATACGCACATTACTCAATTGTAACATTTGAGACCATTTTAATGTTTACATCAATATCCTATCAAATTTTGGAATTTGTAGTTTGGTGACATCCTAAGATTTTTCTGCTGGAGAGTTGTAGTGCGTTTCCCTGACTGATGGACAATAATCCTGCAAACCTAGCCAAATTATAAATCCCAGGATTCTACAGGGAAACTGATATCAAATTGCTGTAACTTTACAGTCAGTGTAGACATAGTTTAATAATGCCATGACTACACTGGCAAGCTGAATTGGAGCAAATTATTTGTGAACTGTGTTACGGTTGAATTTGCAATCAGTGATGACGCAGGGCCTAAGGACTGATGTGAGAGTTCCTTGTTCACAGTTGATGAGAGGCCATTTGCATTTAAGCCCACAGACCCACTTCTTTCCTTTCTTCTTCTGGTCCTGCTTCTGCCAATCCTTTTATGGCTCATTGTCAAACTGCTTGGTTTTTCAAGAGTTGTACAGTGTTCTGGAAAAGGTGGCAGTGTTTCCAAGTTCCTCTTAAAATGTGCAGAAATGCTACATACCATGGGAAGATCTTTTATTTGGTCTGGGTTTTTTTTTCCTGTTCTGTTCATTATTTAAAAAAAAAAAATCATCCAGAGGTGATCCAGCACTAAATTAATTTATCAGCACTAATGATAAGGTGATCTAGCACTAATCTCACATATGAAAAAAAAATACATCTGAGGATGATTGGGAGGAAAGAACATGGGGGCAAGTATTTCCCCAGTACTGAACATTACATCCCAACTGCCTATGTCACTGAAACACTACACACAGATATGCCCTTGTCTTTACAGGAAAAAAAATCAGCTGATCACACAGGAAAAAGTCAGTTCAAATCAATTCAGCTTGAAAAAAGGACAAGCCCTCAGTGGCACAGCAAAAAACAAGCAAACAAAAACTGCATTGGGAGCAAAAAGTGTTGATCAGTTCAAATCAGCTTTTGTGTTGTGTGATAATAAAAAAACCCACTTTGAATCAACCCTTATTAAAACCACAGCAAGCCTACATCATTTGACTGTATGAGTCACAGCCTTAGAATGTTATTTATCCAATTACCTTGGGATGTATTATTCAAATGATTAGAAAATTGGTTTGTTAGCATTTCATTTCTCCTTGTCAGGTGCATTTATGCTAAGAGGAGACTCTGTTCTACTCTTAGTACCCAGCTCCATCTTCGTTAAATTCAACAGCCAAATAGCCAGGTTGTGACATTATAGAGCAGGGGTCTCCAGACTTTTCAGCATGAGAGCCACATCATATATTTTACACATTTTTGAGGGCTGAAGAAACACACATGCACATGTACGCATTTTTGAGGGCTGAAGAAACACACATGCTCATGTACGCATGCATAGGCTGAAGGGAATGGACCTGAGCCTACGGTTTTCGATGGGCTGGATGAAAAGGCAAGGCATGCTGGATGTGGTCCGCAGGCCATAGTTTGGAGACTTGTGCTGTAGAGCAATCAGTGCAGGCTGTTCTGTGCTGACAATGGCACATGACGGCAGTAGCTGACAATCTGTCCTGGCCTCTGAAGTCCTGCTGATGTGGCTGGATAGTGAGCCAGCAAAAGATAATTAAAGACAAGGAAAACCCAAGTGATGTCTTCTAGCCATGCCCACATCAGTCTTGCTTAGATGTGAGCATCCTGTCACTCTGATTGCTTTTCAGTGACAACAGCTGAAGAGTGCAAACTCTACTACTTCCATTCAAAACCACCAGATGTCATGTTGTTCATCATTTAACATAAAAATCTGGAAAAGGTCACAAAAGTCTTTGAGTCAATCTTGACTCTTCACCTGTGATCCAACCTGAAAATGTTCCCTAGGAGTTTCCTATATGAGTCATTCATGAATCCAGTGGATATCCTAAAGTATAACTATGCAACAACATTCCATACCAAACTCACAAATAACAACTGATTGTGAGAGAAGAGTAACACTTTTCTTAACAGCAAAAGATGGTGGCTTGAGTGAGATGAGAAGAGCAACATCTTGGGGTTAGATGTTCAAACCATTTGATGACATAAGAGAAGGGTTTTCATTACTAAAGGAGGTAGTGACAGCTGTCTGTCTGACATTATTGGTGGCCACCAGACGTGACCTGACCTCTTGTACCAGCAACAGTACACCCCGATATATCAGTTGCTGGGAAACATATGTAAGAGCTCCTGCCCTCACATCCAGCTTCTTGACTTCCTGAGGGCACCAAAAGGATCCAGCATCCCTCTTCTTATGGCCTTAAAAATAATTGTTTATTCATCATAGTGAAATTCTGCATTCCTATGAGATTCTGCATCCAGTAGCCTTAAATACAGCCTTCCTGAGATTTAAAAGTTCTGCTCCCTTTAAGGCCATTAACAACAATGGCCAAAATCCTGTTTCTTAGCATAATAAGTTGCACTAGAGTTGGACCCACTGAATCAGTGAGGATTTAATGAATCATTCCTTCATAAGTTCCATTGATCCAAATGGGTCTACTCTATGTTTAAAACAGTCACAGTTCGAGCAGGCCAATTTGAATCAATAGAACTTAAGAGAGGCTCTATATATTTTATTTTAAACCCCTTCTTTGTTTTAAAATTGCTGCTAAAATTTCAGTGTATTTTTCCATACAGGTGTTTTTACAAAAATATCCAAGTACAGAAGGCTGTGAAATTGTGCTCCTGACAGATGGAGAAGATAAAACCATAAGCTCTTGCTTTACTAATGTTGCAAACAGTGGCTCTGTAATTCACACCATAGCTTTGGGGCCAAGTGCTGCCAAAGAACTAGAAATGTTGGCAGACATGACAGGTGAGTAAACAGAATATCTTAAGTCTTGTAAGAAGCTTTCGTGCTATGTGGCAGCTAGTAGCTACTGGGGATTTCTAGATAGTTAAGTTGCTACAATGTTCAGTCAAAGCAGTGATTAAATGACATGAAACAAAACAACAGTGCTTTCATTGTGTTAGGTAAAGGTAAAGGTAAAGGTTCCCCTTGACAATTTTTGTCCAGTCGTGTCCGACTCTAGGGGGCGGCGCTCATCCCGCTCTTCAAGCCATAGAGCCAGCGTTTTGCCCGAAGACAATCTTTCCGTGGTCACATGGCCAGTGCGACTTAGACACGGAATGCTGTTTACCTTCCCACCGAGGTGGTTC